GACGTATTGATTGCTCATTGCCACTCCAGCGTGTACTACAGAGTTGAGACTTCTGTTCGAAAAAAAAATATAAAAATATAGTTGCCGGCGCCGGTGGCTCACGCTGTAATCCCAGCACTTTGTGAGCCGGAGGTGCGGGTTTCGGCGGATCACAAGGTCAATATCGACCACCCCTCCAAAAGTACTGGGATTACAGGTGTGAGCCACCACGCCCGGCCAGGAATATTTCCCTTTTAATCCCCCTTCCATAAATGTGACTTACATGAAATTCTACATAATGTCAGAATGTCCATCAGAATGCATAGTTGCTTCTGCATAGGATTTCTGCAGAAAGAAATGGATAAGCATTTTAACCATTGTTCTTTTGGGCTTTTGTTGAGATTCATTTGCTTTCCACTTTAATACTGATCACCAAAAATGGGTGTTCATAATAGCAATTCCCCAATAGGTTTTGGGAGGCTTGACCCATTTTCTTTAAGGAAGGCTGCTGCAACTAAGAAAATATGTTTATGCTTCCTTGGGTGTGTGATTTTTGGGCAGTTAGCAGCTTGTTCTTGCCTAGTCAGGATTTAGTAACCTGTGCAAAAAGTGAAGTCTCAGGTATTAACTCTTGTATTCTCCGTATGGTAATCTTAATGAATTCATTCGTGATCAGTAAGTTCCCATGGGTTAACACTTTCCAGGCTAGGGACAGTGGCTCACACTTGTAATCCCAGCACTTTGGGAGGCTGAGGCAAGATGATCACTTGAGCCTAAGAGTTCAGACCAGCCTGGGCAACACAGCAAGACCTCATCTCTACAAAAATTTTTTAAAATTAACTGGTGGCATGCGCCTGTAGTCTTAGCTGCTTGGGAGGCTGAGGCAAGAAAGATCACTTGAGTCCAGGAGTTTGAGGCTGCAGTGAACTATGTTCGTGCCACTGCACTCCAGCCTGAGAGTGAGACCCTGTCTCAAAAAAAAAAAAAAAAATCTCCAAAAGGATTAAAAAAAAAAAAACCTCTCCAAAAGGGTAATACCACATCCTTTCTTGAAATACTCATAAGAAGGGAGCACTCCTAGTTAGAGTGGGCACTTTCCAAGTATTCTGTCTTTAGCCACGGTTGAATGCTTTCTTTGAAAATATCCCAAAGGGGTATTTCCACGAATAATGTTAAGGGCTCTTGATGAGATGGCAAGTTTAAGAACTCTTCTCTTGGCCAGGCATGGTGGCTCACGCCCATAATCCTAACACTTTGGGAGGCCAAGGCAAGCAGATTACCTGAGCTCAGGCAGCCTGGCCAACATGATGAAACCGCATCTCTGCTAAAATACAAGAACAAATTAGCCGGGCATGGCGACATGAGCCTGTAATCCCAGCTACTCGGGAGGCTGAGGCAGGAGAATTGCTTGAAGCTGGGAGGCAGAGGTTGCAGTGAGCTGAGATCATGCCACTGCACTCCAGCCTGGGTGACAGAGTGAGACTCCATCTCCAAAAAAAAACTTGAGAGACTGGAAGACCTAAAGAGGCGGGGACGAGAGTCATCTGCCTATGTGAAGCACTGAACTAGGCACACAGGACATATTATGTGGACAGTTATAAAGAGAGCAAACTGTTTTGTTTTGTTTTGAGACAGAGTCTCGCTCTGTCACCCAGGCTGGAGTGCTGTGGCGTGATCTCAGCTCATCACAACTTCTGTCTCCTGGGTTCAGGCAGTTCTTGTGCCTCAGCCTCCTGAATAGCAGCTGGGATTTCAGGTGCCCACCACCAGGCCCAGCTAATTTGTTTATTTTTAGTAGAAACGGGGTTTCACCATGTTGACCAGGCTGCTCATGAACTCCTGACTCAAGTGATAGCTGGTCTCAGCCTCCTAATGTTTTGAGATTGCCGGTGTCAGCCAGCACGCCTGGCCCAAACTGTATTGACTTAGCTCATGGTTTCTCTTTTCCCCACTTATGTAGGGGATCTTCTTGTGCTCAGATACCACCTTAAGCATCTTAGGATCATGCTGGAAGGTAACACATTTAGTGCTATAAACAGTGAGGAAGTTTTCTCTCATTTTTCCCTAAATGTCCAGGTGGACTTTGGGCCATATTTTGAGAAACATGCTCAATTGGAAGCAATAATTTTTAACCTCTTTGGCGTTCATTGGAAATCTTTTGAAGGTGTGAACATTCACTGCAGAAATTGCACAAACGCATCATTTTCCATATGGTTTCAAATAGGAGGTCTTACACTCCTTGACACCATGGAACTGGTTTAAGAAGTCTTACTTTTCTTTTTTTTTTTTTTTTTTTGAGACGGAGTCTCGCTCTGTCACCCAGGCTGGAGTGCAGTGGCCGGATCTCAGCTCACTGCGAGCTCCGCCTCCCGGGTCAAGCAATTCTCCTGCCTCAGCCTCCCGAGTAGCTGGGACTACAGGCGCCTGCCACCTCGCCCGGCTAATTTTTTGTATTTTTAGTAGAGACGAGGTTTCACTGAGCCAGGATGGTCTCGATCTCCTGACCTTGTGATCCGCCCGTCTCGGCCTCCCAAAGTGCTGGGATTACAGGCTTGAGCCACCGCGCCCGGCCTTTACTTTTCAAGAACAGTAAATACTGTTTACCTGGATGTTTACAGTGACTCCCTGCTGTTTTTACAACCCAAGAGTTGTCTTGTTTCTAAACCCATTTCTCAGACTATTAGTGAAGAAAATGGCTCTTTATTCTCTATAGATGGGTGAGCTATGTTTCAGCCATTGTATTTGGTCAAAAGTGTGCCCTGGCACAAATAATGTTGCTGGTGTGGTTAATGCCAGTGTGTAACTAGCTTGCTACTCTGTCTTCTGCTCTTACAGGCCTGTGAAGTTTGTACCTCTGTTCACTTAAGCATCACCTTTCTGTATGCTAAGCATGTAAAGTCAACAATGAAAACTGGAATAACACGGAAGTGAAAATGAGAATTTTGTTAACTCTTGTTAACTGAGAGTAGTTGGTGTTTCTCACTCTGTGATTAGAGCAATAACTCTGTAAGAAGAAAGGTTATATTGAACAAAACGTTAACTTCAAATAACCTCTCAATTTGAAATTTTTTTTTTTTTTTTTTTGAGACAGAGTCTTGCTCTGTTGCCGAGGCTGGAGAATCTCAGCTCACTGCAACTTCTGCCTCCTGGATTCAACCAATTTCTCCTGTTTCAACCTCCCGAGTGAGGCTGAGATTACAGGCACGTGCATCATACCCAGCTAATTTTTTAATTTTTAGTAGAGACAGGGTTTCGCTATGTTGGCTATGCTGGTCTCAAACTCCTGACCTCAAGTAATACACCCGGCCTCTCTTTTTGAGACAGGGTCTCTTATCACTCAGGCTGGAGTGCAGTGATACAATTACAGCTCATTGCAGCCTGGATCTTCTGGGCTCAACCAAGTAGCCTGGACAACAGGCATACCACCATGTCCTGTTTTTTGTTTTTGTGTTTTTTTGTTTTTTGTTTTGAGAAAAAGTCTCCCTCTTTTTCCCAGGCTGGAGTGCAGTGGCGTAGTCTTGGCTCACTGCAACCTCTGCCTCCCAGGTTCAAGCAATTATTGTACCTCAGCCTCCCAAGTAGCTGGGGCTACAGGTGTGCACCCCCCACACCTGGCTAATTTTTTGTTTGTTTGAGACAGAATATTACTCTGTTGCCCAGGCTGGAGTGCAGTGGTGTGATCTCAGCTTACTGCAACCTCCACCTCCCAGGCTCAGGCAATTCTGCCTGAGCCTCCCGAGTAGCTGGGATTACAGACATGCCAGGCTGGTCTTGAACTCCTGATCTTAAGTGGTCCACCCGCCTTGGCCTCCCAAAGTGCTGTCATTACAGGTGTGAGTCACCGTGCCCGGCCCACAGTTTTTTTTTTGTTTTTTTTTGTTTTTGTTCTTTTTTTGAGACGGAGTCTCACTCTGTCGCCAGGCTGGAGTGCAGTGGCTCCATCTCGGCTCACTGGCAAGCTCGCTCCCGGGTTCCCGCTATTCTCTGCCCTCCAGCTCCGAAGTAGCTGGGACTACAGGCGCCCGCCACCCACCTGGCTGATTTTTTGTATTTTTAGTAAGACGGGGTTTCACCGTGTTACGCCAGGAGGTCCTCGATCTCCTTGACCTCCTGATCCTCGCGCTCGGCCGTACACAAAGTGCCGGCCATACGCGCGTCACGTCACCTGCGCCCGCCGGCAGCAGTTTCTCTTATTTTGGTAGAGCTGCTAATATGGTTTTTCCTGTTCCAGAATTCCATCCAGGGATACCATATGACATTTAGTTGGTTCTCTCTTCTTTTTTTTTTTTTTTGTGTTGAGACGGAGTCTCGCCGGCCGCGCCCAGGCTGGAGTGGCAGTGCCGGAGTCGTGCAGCCTGCTACTGCAAGCTCCGCCTTCCCGGGTTCAGCCACTCTCCTGCCTCAGCCCCCCGAGGTAGCGCGGGACTCACAGGCGCCCGCCACCTCGCCCGGCGCTAGTTTTGTCTTTTTTAGTAGAGGACGGGGTTTCACGTCAGCCAGGATGTGTCTCATCTCCTGACCTCGTGATCCGCCGCTCGGCCTCCCAAAGTGCTGGGATTTACAGGCTTGAGCCAGCGCGCCGGCCTGTTCTCTCTCTTTAGCGCTCCTATTTTCCTTTTTTTACAGACTGTTACTTCTGTTAAAGTATTTTTTGATTCCCCATCCAATAGGACCAAAATTAGGCTTTTCTGGATGTTTTGTGGTTGTGTTAAAGTGTTAACCCTTTCCCAGGTGACTCCTAAATAAATAAGTAAAATCATTATAGAGTTCAGCAACAACTGTAGTATAATTGAGAACACCTATTGGGGCCGGGGCCGGGTGGCTCAAGCCTGTAATCCAGCACTTTGGGAGGCCGAGACGGGCGGATCACGAGGCCAGGAGATCGAGACCATCTGGCTAACACGGTGAAACCCCGTCTCTACTAAAAATACAAAAAACTAGCCGGGCGAGGTGGCGGGCGCCTGTAGTCCCAGCCTCCGGGAGTGCCTGGGGCCGGAGAATGGCGTGAACCCAGGAGGCGGAGCTTGCAGTGAGCTGAGATCCGGCCACGCCATCCCAACCTGGGCGCGCAGAGCGAGACTCCCCCTCAAAAAAAAAAAAAAAAAAAAGAGAACACCTATTGGGATCCCTGTTACCTTTGGAGGTAAAGGTTTCAAACAAAACACCACTTAGAAACTTCTGTACATTAAGAATTTACACATTTAAGTGTGAAAGATTGTCTTTGAGTTAATACAAGCACATTAGGGTTCTTAGTTTAGTATCTGCATGGGGTAGTAAGGGAATATGTGATAATCTTTAGTTACTTCTAAGAGTAAAAAATTGCTTTGCAGTGGTTTTTCCTGTAGCATTATGTATAAGTATTTACTATATTGCAAGGTCCTTCCTGTTTCTACTAGAAAAATTTTAAGCCCTTTTGTCCTTAGGATTTCTGTATTGTAGTAATATCTGATACCTTCATAACTACTATTGCTCCATCCTCCCTGCACCCCTCACCCCAGCCCCAAAGTTTTGCTAACCCTATAGATCTGACACCATGTTTGCTCTGCAGATGTCTCTGGACTCTCCCATAGTGTTTTTTTGTTTTTTTCTTTTTCTGAGACAGGGTCTCTCTCACCCAGGATGGAGAGCAGTGGTGGATCCCTATAGCCTTGAGCTCAAGTGACCCTCCCACCTCAGCCTCCTGAGTAGCAGGGACCACACTTGATGAATTTTTTTTTTTTTTTTTTGAGATGGAGTCTTGCTCTGTTACCCAGGCTGGAGTGCAGTGGTGCGATCTCAGCTCACTGCAACCTCAGCCTCCCTAAAAGTAGCTGGGATTACAGGCACCCGCTACCACACCTGGCTAAATTTTATATTCTTAGTAGAGATGGGGTTTCACCATGTTGGCCAGGCTGGTCTCAAACTCCTGGCCTCCAGTGATCCACCTGCCTCAGCCTCCTATAGTGCTGGGATTACAGGTGTGAGCCACCGTGCCCGGCCCACTCAATGAATTTTAAAATTTGTTTTGTAGAGATGGGGTCTCCTTATATTGCCCAGGCTGATCTTGAACTCCTGGACTCAAGCAATCCTCCCACTTCAGCCTCCCAAAGTTCTGGGAGTACAGGTGTGAGCCACTGCACCCAGCTAACTCCTGTCTTTACTGGTGATTTATAGGTTGTATGTCAGTTCTTCGACAATTTTTTTCAGAATTTTGAACAGCCTCCAGATATTTCCTTATATTTGGAACTCTATTTATCTCAGTCTTCCAAAGTTTTATTCGTATTTCTATCCACTTATAAGACAGGTAATTCATAAATAAATCCTAAATAAATGCAAATGCCTGATTGATATCCTGGTCTTAAAACTAAAATATCATCTAGTCCTAAGGCATTTTCTTGTCCTGAAGAAAACATTTAGATGCTTCAGTTTTCTGTAAACACTGAGAGAATTCATGGTATGCTATACCCAGTGATTCTTGTGGGCTGAGTGAGCAAATCTGTCCCTCCATCCTCACCCCAAGATGTGGAATCAGTGATCTGAGAAGCAGTCAGTGCACATTCTCCTATTGCAAGGCCTGGGATGGGAGTGTTGTCAAAGTCATGGCATAGTGGTATGTGCTTTTTTACAAGGCAGTTGCAGCATTTTACTGGTGCTGAAAGTTTCGGAATTGCTTTTTTTTTTTTTAACTTTATTATAAAAAATATTTCAAAGTATGCCAAAAGGAGGCAGTAATTTGCTGTGTATATGGGTATATATGTGTGTTAGTGTGCATGTGTGTATATATGGGTAGATATGTGTGTTAGTGTGCGTGTGTGTATCTATGGGTAGATATGTGTGTTAGTGTGCATGTGTGTATATATGTGTGTGTATACGTAAGTGCGTATATTTCCTAGCTCTACTGAAAGGGCCTTCAAGCAAATGAGGATACCCAGTTCCAAGACCTTGGTGTTTTATGCAATTCCCCACTTAAAGAAACTAGGATTTCTCAGAAATAGCTGATTCTAGGGCTGGTACAGGATGAATACAAGATAAGCCAGAACGTATGGCAGTCTTTTAAAAAAAAAAGATGGCATGTTGAAAAAGACACATGGGCCAGTTTGAAAAGGCACCCACTGGCAAAATCTGGGACAGTTTGAGCACCACATAATTCAGGATATTAATGAGTTATAGACCAACAGAAAAACCAGGAGTCGGCCGGGCACCGTGGCTCACACCTGTAATCCCAACACTCTGGGAGGCTGAGACAGGCAGATCATTTGAGGTCAGGAGTTCCAGAGCAGTCTGGCCAACGTGGTGAAACTCCGTCTCTACTAAAAATACAAAAAACATTAGCCAGGCATGGTGGCGAATGTCTGTAGTCTTAGCTACTCAGGAGGCTGAGGTGGAAGAATTTCTTCAACGCAAGAGGCGAGGGTTGCAGTGAGCCAAGATCACGCCAGTGCACTCTAGCCTGGGCGACAGAGCAAGACTCTGTCTCAAAAAAAAAAAGAAAAAAAAAAACTAGGAGTCTGTGAGTCCATACCAATAATACATAGGTATATAAACGGGAGAAAGGAGGACTTGCCTTTACAGTATGATGCCAAGTGCTGGCTGGTAAATATGGAGAGAGGGCTAGAGTGGCAAAATGAAGAGTGGTTTGGTCAAGAATCATTAATGGATGCTAACTTGAGGGGAAAACTGGAGACCAAGATATTTGGATGATTTTAAAGTGTCTCCCCACAGATTGCATGCTAAATGCAAATGGGAAAGTAGTAACTAAATAGTAGAGAAACTAGGGAAAACCTTGACCAAATGATCAAAATTAGCACCACAGATAAAGGACAGATGAACATCATGGGCATCCAGAAGTGATGGTCTAAGAAGGGCACAACACCTCTTCAGTTAGTAATCTGCCCCATGGATATTTAGTCTCAGTCTACTCATGAGAAAACATCAGACCAACTCAAAATGAATAATGTTCTTTCACAGAAAGGGACTATATTCTCTAGAAATGTCAATATCATAAGAGACAAAAGTTGTAGAAATGTTCTAGATTAAGGGAGACCAAAGAGAGATACAGCAATCAAATATCTGATTCTAGACTGGATCCTGTGTTGGAGGGGGAAGATCAATATAAAGGATATTATTGGGTCAGTTTACAAAACTGGAATTGGGAAGGTAGATTAGAAAAAAGTATTATCGATAACTGTAGTTATAAAAAAAACTGGCAGTTCTTCTCAACTTGAGTCTGCAGAAGTAAGTCCTTATGCCCTGAAGCATCTGTTATATGTGAGGGATTAGCCTCTCTCCTGTGCATCGGATACCGGCTAAGTACATCCTTGAGAGAAGGAGAAAATAGTCACTCAGTCATTTTCTGTAGGGCCAAATTCTCTCATGGAGCTGGATAACAGGCTGTAAAAGAATATCGTCATTCTTAGGAGATAGGCACTGAAGTATTTAGGAGTAAGGTATCATGACTTAGGCAATTTACTCTCAAGTTAGTAAAAAAAAACCAAACTCGCTCATATGTGGAAGCCAAAAAACTTGACTTCATGGAGGTAGAGAATAGAATGATAGATACCAGAGTCTGGGAAAGGTATGTGGGTGGGATGGCAGAATACAAAGAGGTTGATTATATGGGTACAAACATACAGTTGAAGAAGGAATAAGTTCTAATGTTTGATAGAATAGAGTGGCTATGGTTAACAAGTGTATTGTATATTTCAGAATAGCTAGAAGAGAGGACTTTAAATGTCTCCAAAACATAGGAAGGATAAATACTTGAGGTAATGGACACCCCAGATATCCTGACTAGATCATTACACAGTTTATACATGTAACAGCATTATCACATGTACCCCCATAAATATATACAAAGATCTGTATCAATTTTTTTAAATTCTGCAAAAAAAAAAAAAAGTAAATGATAAATAGGGAGAAATGTTAATAGGTAAATCCAGGTACACAGTATATGGATGTTTTTTGTGTTTTTTTAGTCTTGCAACATTACATTTAAAAAAAACTATTGCCTGCTGGGCCTGGTTGCTCACACTTGTAATCCCAGCACTTTGGGAGGCCGAGGCGGGCAGATTACCTGAGGTCAGGGGTTTGAGACCAGCCTGGCTAACATGGTGAAACCCTGTCGCTACTAAAAACACAAAAATTAGCCAGGCATGGTGGAAGGTGCCTGTAATCCCAGCCACTTGGGAGGCTGAGGCAAGAGAATTGCTTGAACCCAGGAGGCGGAGGTTGCAGTGGGCCAAGATTGTGCCACTGCACTTCATCCTGGGCTACAGAGTGAGACTCCATCTCAAAAAAAAAAAAAAAAAAAATTATCCCCTTGTAAATTGGCATCTAATACATTGAAAATTAGTAAGATTAGGCAGAGGTTTTATCTAAGACTAAAGTTTCCTTGCCTTGCTGAGCATTCAGTGTTATGGACTATAACAATGTTATTGAATAGGAATTATGAGAGAATGTTTTAGCCAGAAACTGATCACTTTTAAATTACTAGATTATTCTGCTTGAGCTTGTAAGAACCTTGATGTACTCCAGTCCTTTCTGAAATAAGGCAAGATATAAATAAGAATTGTGTGAAGTGTTTAAGATGGACACTTAGAATTATTCAGAACAGAAAGAAGTTTAAAGTGTGTGGCCTAAGAAATGTAATTCAAAATGACTATTTGATTTCTCTTTTTAGGAAGAACTCTTGGATATAAAAGAACTCCCCCATTCCAAACAGAGGCCTTCGTGCCTTTCTGAAAAATATGACAGGTATGTGTGTCATTCTAGTCCTTAACTACTTCTAGTCAGTAACTTTTTGTTATACCAAACTTGGTAAATTAAGAATTGTATTGTTTTGAAGTTTTCTGGTAGAATTATGAAAGAGGATTTTCAAGAGGTAATAAGATGGGTTTCAACGACCTAGGAATGAAACTTAAATTAAAAAATGATCTGGTCAGAGTCACATAGTCAGAAAGCAGAATTAAGACTTGAACCCAACCGGGCGCGGTGGCTCACGCCTGTAATCCCAGCACTTTGGGAGGCCGAGGCGGGCAAAGCACAAGGTCAGGAGATCAAGACCATCCTGGCTAACACAGTGAAACCCTGTTTCTACTAAAAATACAAGTGGTGGCAGGCGCCTGTAGTCCCAGCTACTCGGGAGGCTGAGGCAGGAGAATGGCATGAACCTGGGAGGCGGAGCTTACAGTGAGCTGAGATTGCACCACTGCACTCCAGCCTGGGTGACAGTGCGAGACTCCGTCTTAAAAAAATAAAAAGAACAACCAGGAGTCCTCACCAGGGTCTTCTCTCTCTACCGGTGGTTTTTTGCACTGTACTTTGAGGTTACCTGCCTTAGGTATGCTGCTCAAGGGGGCTCTTAGTTTTTTTTTTGCATTCCCACAAAAAACTATTCAGCCATTCACATTAGCTTTATTTCCTTCAGAAGAAGGTGGCTTTGGTTTGGGAAGACTATAGCTAAAAATGGTCTGAAAATCTACCATAATCCTATATTGTACTACTTATGGCCACCTTAGTCATTTCTTTTTTTTTCTTTTCTTTTTTTTTTTTTTTTTTTTTGAGACAGAGTCTCACTCTTTTTGCTCAGGCTGGAGTGCACTGGCGCGACCTGGGCTCACTGCAACCTCCACCTCCCAGGTTCAAGCGATTCTTCTGCCTCAGCCTCCCGAGTAGCTGGGATTACAGGCACCCACCACCACGCCCAGCTAATGTTTTTGTATTTATAGCACCTATAGTACTATAGTGCCTATAGTCCCAGCTACTCAGGAGGCCAAAGCAGGAGGTTTGCTTGAGCCCAGGAACTTGAGGCTGCAGTGAATTATGATTGCATCACTACACTCCAGCCTGAGCAACAGAGATCCTATCTCAAAAAAAAAAAAAAAAGTCCTATTTAACCAGGAAATTGAACATTAATATGATGCTTTATATGTTAAAAAAAAATGTAGGTTAATATAAACCATCTACCTTGATATTTAAGAAATGATGGGCCGGGTGCAGTGGCTCACACCTATAATCCCAGCACTTTGGGCAGCCAAGGCAGGCGGATCACAAGGTCAGGGGTTTGAGACCAGCCTGGCCAACATAACGAAACCCCGTCTCTACTAAAAATACAAAAATGAGCTGGGTGTGGTGGCATGTGCCTGTAGTCCCAGCTACTCGGGAGGCTGAGGCAGGAGAATGGCACGAACCCGGGAGGCAGAGCTTACAGTGAGCCAAGATCGTGCCATTGCACTCCAGCCTGGGCCACAGAGCAAGACACCATCTCAAAGAAAAAAAAAAAAAACCTTGATGCCTCAACCACATTCCCTGATGAAGGTGATACTTGAATAATGGCTATTCCAATTAGTTAGGATTTTTCTTTCTTTCTTTTTTTTTTTTTTTTTGAGATAGAGTTTCGCTCTTGTTGCCCAGGCTGGAGTGCAATGGCACAATCTCGGCTCACCACAGCCTCCGCCTTCAGGGTTCAAGCGATTATCCTGAGTAGCTGGGATTACAGGCACCCACCACCACACCTAGCTAATTTCTGTATTTTTAGTAGAGACGGGATTTCACCATTTTGGCCAGGCTGGTCTCGATCTGCTGACCTCAGGTGATCCACCCACCTCGGCCTCCCAAAGTGTTGGGATTAGCAGGCATGAGCCACCGCGTCTGGCCTACAAAATGTATTTTAAAAAATTATCCGGGCATGGTGGCACGTGCCTGTAGTCATAACTACTCAGGAGGCTGAGGTGGGAGGATCACCTGAGCCCCGAAGTTTCAGGCTGCCGTGAGGTATAATCATGCCACTTACTGCATTCCAGCCTGGGTGACAGAACTCTGAGACCCTGTCTGAAAAAAATAAAAACAAAGTTATCCTGGGCAGACAAACAACTTTTATTTCTGAAGCAGAGACTGTGCCTGGTGATAAAAATAAGAAAGAGGAGAGAGCTGCTTCATTCTGTTTCACCTCTGTGAGAACTAAAATTTGTTGGGCTCTTAAATGCTAGATAATCCTCACCACTACCCTAGAAGGTAGGTAGTATATATTTTATTGTGAGGAGTTTGAGACTGAAAAGTTAACTCACTTATTCAAGAAATGTTCATTGGTACCTGCTATGTGATAAATACTGTGCCAGGTTCTATAAAATATTCCATGGCTTCACGGAGCATTGGTCTATGGAAGGACACAATCAAATACTTGTAAAAATTTATCATTGCAAACATCACAGGCTGCAAAGGACAAGTGTGGAGTACATTGCTAGTGTATAGCATGACCTGGTCTAATCTGGTGGTTGGGAAGGTCTTTCTGCAGAAGATGCAGCTCAGTAACTTGTCTAGGATGTTCCCAGTAGTGGTGGCAAACTAGAATTAGGGTCCAGATTTTTGGGCTCCAAAGTTTCTGCTCTGTGCACTGTACTACACACCACCCCCTCGTTACACAGAGAATAACAAAATAAAACCTAAACTACACATTTTAGGTCATAAGAGCTGTCTGCCCTGCTTATTGAAAAACTAAGACTGTGCATAGAAATTCTGGAAAAATACACATCAAATGATCCAGGTACTACTTCTGGTGAGAGAGTTAAGGGATTTTTTTTTTTCTCCTTTGTGTTAATCTTCAGTAAACAACAGTTAATATTTATGGAACATCTTCTTTGTATAGTACAGGCATAGTTATTGTAATCCATGTGCACTCCAAGGTATACGGTCTGAATGTTTCAATTGTGTACAGACCATTAGTTTTCAAGAGACTACTGGTGTTGTGTGATCAACAACAAAGTATTACTGAATTAATAGATGTTTTGGTTTTCATATTAAAAGAGGTAACAATTCTGCAGGCAGTCATGAAGCTTTATATTGGAAATTGGTTTCCGGCTGGGCGTAGTGGCTCACATCTGTAATTCCAGCACTTTGGGAAGCCAAGGCAGGCAGATTACTTGAGGTTAGGAGTTAGAGACCTGGCCTGGCCAACTGGTGAAACCCCGTCTCTACTAAAAATACAAAAATTAGCAAGACGTGGTAGTGGGCACTTGTAATCCCAGCTACTGGTGAGGCTGAGGCAGAAGAATCACTTGAACCTGGGAGGCAGAGGGTGCAGTGTCATGCCACTGCACTCTATCCTGGGTGACAGAGCGAGACCCTGTCTCAAAAAAAGAGAAATGGGTTTCCATAACTTAATAGCTGAGGAGGTTTAGAAATCAGACGGCCTATATGGTTCATGGGCGCAAGTGCTAACATTTGTATTTTCTGACCTGTAGTGATGGTGTCTGGGACCCTGAGAAGTGGCATGCCTCTCTCTACCCAGCTTCAGGGCGAAGCTCGCCAGTGGAAAGTCTGAAGAAAGAGTTGGATACAGACCGGCCTTCCCTGGTGCGCAGGATAGTAGGTGAGCACACAGTCACTCAGAAGTGGGGTTAATGATTTTGGGGACATGATTTTGGCTGCTGGTTTCATTCTTAGCTCTGAGAATGTTATGCTTTGAGGGGAAATGTCATTATCAGGAAACTGATTTATCAGTTGGATTTTTCCTAATCAGCAGGGTAAAGTCATAGTCTATTTTGTCACAGCTATTATATAGCTGTCTTCTTATAGAAGACTGTTAGGCTGTGTGCTTCCGAATTAAAAGTACTAATATTCTTTCATTGGCATGGATAACTGAGTTAGATGTGGTAGGTAGCATAAAGCTGTGCTGGAAATCTCATTATGCTTTCTCTCATATGTGAGACCAGTCCTCGGGTATGAATTAGTTCTGGCAATTCTTTTTTTTTTTTTTTTGAGATGGAGTCTTGCTCTGTCACCCAGGCTGCAACCTCTGCCTCCTGGGTTCAAGCAATTCTCTGCCTCAGCCACCCAAGTAGCTGGGATTACAGGCGCCTGCCACCATGCCCGGCTAATTTTTGTATTTTTAGTAGAGATGTTCACCATCATGGCCAGGCTGGTCTTGAACTCCTAACCTCGTGATCCCCCTGCCTCGGCCTCCCAAAGTGTTGGCATTACAGGCATGAGCCACCGCGCTGAGCCTAGTTCTGGCAATTCTTAATTCATAATGGACTGTGATCTAAATACAAGGCTTTGATATGGTTTGAGACTGAAGTTAAGTCTGATCTTCCAACTTTTCTAGTTTAAAGTTTACCCCTTCAAACTAGAAACGTTGTTTAAGGGTGAAATGGAGACCAGGTAATATAAAAGCAGTCAAGGAAATTGTTGCAAGAAATCTTTTTGAGATGAGAGGACGACCTATCATAAAAACTTGGAACTAAATGAAAAAGATAGCCCAGCTCTAGTTTAAGCTGTAAGACCCTTCTACACAGTCTGTCAGTCCACTCAGCACAGTAATGTCTCTCAAATAATTTATTCTAGCAGAATCATTAAAGATATGCAGAGACTTTATTACAGTGATGAAAACTGAGAAGGAACCTAAATATCCAACAGTAGAAATGGGTCATGTAAACTTCAGTATATCCATATATAGGAATATTACATTGCATTGTCCTGTAAAACCATGTTGCAGATGTGTTTATTGGCAAGTAATGTTCATGATGTACTGACTCATCGAAAACTGTCCATATTGTATCCTGTGTTTGGAAAAAACTGAGACTGTGCACAGAAATTCTGTAAAGCATGCAACAGAACATTCTAGGAGCTGTTCGTGATAACAGAATTAAAGCAGATTTTTCTCACTTGGACTAATCTTCAGTTTCCTGGTTTTTCTAGGAAGACATTTTTTGTGTGGTGACTTGTTTGTTCTTCCTACATCAATAAATTTATTGAGATAGAATTTACAGATAGCCTGCACAAAAAGTATACCATTTGATGTCTTGACATGTGTATCCATCTGTGAAACCATTACCAAAATCAACATAAGCATTTTTATCACCCCCAGACGTTCCCTAGTATTCCTATGTGTCCTCCATTTAGCCGCGCACCCGCCCCCAACACTTCCCCCTTCCCAAGCAAGCGCTGTAAACTTTTTTTTTTTTTTTTTTGAGAGAGAGAGTCTCCCTCTGTCGCCCAGGCTGCAGTACAGTGGCATGATCTCTGCTTACTGCAACCTCTGCCTCCCAGGTTAAAGCGACTGTCTTGCCTCAGCTTCCTGAGTAGATGGGATTACATATGCACGTTCCACCATGCCCAGCTAACTCCACCCTCCCCCGCCAGGATGGAATCTTGCTCTGTCACCCAGGCTGGAGTGCAGTGGAGCAATCTCGGCTCACTGCCACCTCTGCCTCCCGGGTTCAAGTGATTCTCGAGCCTCAGCCTCCCAAGTAGCTGGGATTATAGGCGTGCGCCACCACGCCCGGCTAATTTTTGTATTTTTAGTAGAGACAGGATTTCACCATGTTGGCCGGCCTGGTCTTGAACTCCTGACCTCAAGTGATCCACCCACCTTGGCCTCCCAAAGTGCTGGGATCACAGGCATGAGTCACTGTGCCTGGCCCCAATTTTTGTATTTTTAGTAGAGATAAGGTTTACCTTGTTGGCCAGGCTGGTGTCGAACTCCCAACCTCAGGTGATCCACTTGTCTTGACCTCCCAAAGTGTTGGGATTACAGGCATGAGCCATAGTGCCCAGCCTGATCTGCTTTCTATGTCTTCTTTGTTCCTATAGATTAGTTTCCATTTCCTAGAATTTTATATAAATGTAGTTACTGTAGTATGTACTCCTTGTGTAACTTTTTTCACTAAGAATAATTAAGATTCATCCATGTTGTTGAGTGTCTAGTTTATTTTCATTGCTTAATAGTATTCCATTGTATGGATTTAGCAGTTGGTCTGTTTATCTGTTGATGCACATTTGGGTTGTTTCCAGTTTTTGACTGTTATAACCAAAGCTGCAATGAACATTCATGTGCAAGTCTCTGGACATATGCTTGCTTTTCTCTTGGGTAAAAAACTAGGATTAAAATGGTTGGGTTGTATAGTAGATGTATGTTTAACCTTCTGGGAAATTGCCAAACTGTTTTCCAAAGTAGTGGTACCATTTTATGTTTCCACCAGTGGTGTATGAGAGTTCCACTTGCTCCACATCCTCGTCAGCACTTGGAATGGTCAGTCTTTTCAATTTTAGCCATTCTAATAGGTGTATAGTGGTATCAAATGGTTTAATTTGCATTTCCCTAATGACTAATTATGTTGACTATCTTTTCATATGCTTATTTGCCTTCCACATAACCTCTTTGGTGAAGGGTCTGTTCAAACCATTTGTCTATTTTTTAATTGCGTTGGGTTTTTTTTTTTTTTTGAGACGGAGTCTCGCTCTGCCGCCCAGGCTGGAGTGCAGTGGCCGGATCTCAGCTCACTGCAAGCTCCGCCTCGCAGGTTAATGCCATTCTCCTGCCTCAGCCTCCCGAGTAGCTGGGACTACAGGCGCCCACCACCTCGCCCGGCTAGTTTTTTGTATTTTTTAGTAGAGACGGGGTTTCACCGTGTCAGCCAGGATGGTCTCGATCTCCTGACCTCGTGATCCGCCTGTCTCGGCCTCCCAAAGTGCTGGGATTACAGGCTTGAGCCACCGCGCCCGGCCTGGGTTGGGTTTTTTTTTTCTTTTTTTTGAGATGTAGTCTGGCTCTTGGTACCCAGGCTACAGTGCAGTGGCGCAATCTCGGCTCACTACAACCTTCACCTCCTGGGTTTAAGTGATTCTCCTGCCTCAGCCTCCCAAGTAGCTGGGATTACAGGTGCCTGCCACCACGCCTGGCTAATTTTGTATTTTTAGTAGAGATGGGGTTTCACCATGTTGTTCAGGCTAGTCTCGAACTCCTAACCTCAGGTGATCCACCCACCTCAGCCTCCCAAAGTGCTGGGATTATAGGCATGAGCCACTGGGTTGGTTTTTTTTAATTAAGAGGTTTTATGTGTTCTGAATTTAAGTCCTTTATCAGAAAAATGCTTTGAAATATTTTGTCCCAATCTGTGGCTTGTCTTTGCATTCTCTAAACAGTGTCTTTCAAAGAGTAGAAATTTTTAAATTTTGATCAAGCCCAGTCTATCAGTGTTTTTTAAATGGATCATGCTTTTGGTGTCATGCCTAAGAAAACTTTGCCTAACCCAGTGCCACAAGGATTTCCTCCTATATTTTGTTCTAGGAATTTTTAGTTTTAGGTTTTACATTTAGATCTGTGATCCATTTTGAATTAGTTTTTGTATATATCTGGTACCAAATATAGATTTTTTTTTTTTTTTTTTTTTTTTGGTAGGGGACAGAGTCTCACTCTGTCGCCCAGGCTAGAGTACAGCAGGGTGACCTCTGCTCATTGTAACCTCTGCCTCTGGGTTCAAGCAATTCTCCTGCCTCAGCCTCCCAAGTAGCCGGGATTATAGGCACCTGCCACAATACCCGGCTAATTTTTGTAGTTTTAGTAGAGATGGGGTTTCACCATCTTGGCCAGGCTGGTCTTGAACTCCTGACCTCGTGATCCCCTGCCTTGACCTCTCAAAGTGCTGGATTATAGGCATGAGCCACCATGCCCAGCCCCAAATATAGATTTAAGTTCATTTCTTTGTCTGTGGATATCTAACCGTTCAACACCATTTTGTTGAAGAGGCACTTTTTAATCAGTTATTTTTTCAAATACTGACACCTACTGTAGTTTATTAGTTGATAAAACATTTGCTAATAATTCTTAGATAAGGATTTGGTCAAAATAAAGGCACTGCAGAGACTAATCATGGAAAATCATTTATTGTGAAGTACTTCTATTGCCGCAAAGAGAAAGGCCAATGTCTCAGCCTTATTTAAATACATAATGCACATGTTACCCTGAATCTGTTGATAGCCCAATTTTAGTGGTGATGTCTTCCAACCATCCCTTTCCTCCCATTAGTCGTGGACATACTATCTAAAAAAGAAGAGAACACCCTTGTTGGTTTGTTTAACTTTCTCTTTCCCACATCCTTCCAGATCCACGAGAGCGTGTGAAAGAAGATGACTTAGATGTTGTTCTCAGCCCTCAGAGACGGAGCTTTGGAGGGGGCTGCCACGTGACAGCTGCTGTTAGCTCCCGGCGCTCAGGAAGTCCATTAGAGAAAGATAATGATGGGCTTCGTCTGCTTGGTGGACGTAGGATTGGCAGTGGGAGGATAATCTCTGCCCGGACCTTTGAGAAGGATCACCGTCTTAGCGATAAGGACCTGCGAGACTTGAGAGACAGAGACCGAGAGAGGGACTTCAAGGACAAGCGTTTCAGGGTTTGTCTCTTCTTTTTTTTTTTTTTTTTTCCAATTGAGACAGAGTTTCGCTCTTGTTACCCAGGCTGGAGTGCAATGGTGTGATCTCGGTTCGCCGCTGCCTCAGCCCCCCGAGTAGCTGGGATTACTGGCATGCACCACCACACCCGGCTAATTTTTTATATTTTTAGTAGAGACGGAGTTTCTCCATATTGGTCAGGCTGGTCTCAAACTCCCAAACTTAGGTGATCTGCCTGCCTCGGCCTCCCAAAGTGCTGGGATTATAGGCGTGAGCCACCACACCCCACCTGGGTTTGTCTTCTAGATTCTTTGGTAGTTCATGTGCTTGGGGACTTGGCATTCACTTCATTTATACCAGGTTACTTTGAGAACAGGCATGAACACAGCCTGCTCTTAAACCAGTCAGGGAAGAAGAGCTGGGGATGGTGATGGGCCTCAGGTATACAGCATCATATCTTCCTTTCACTATTGAACTTTACAATGAAGAATTTGACTCTTAAGTTGAAATGCCTTGACTAGAAATTTTTTAATCTTGCTTTATGTGCTTTTCCAGAGAGAGTTTGGAGATAGTAAGCGTGTCTTTGGTGAGCGTAGAAGAAATGATTCTTATACAGAAGAAGAACCAGAGTGGTTCTCTGCTGGACCCACAAGTCAGTCTGAAACCATCGAACTGACTGGCTTCGATGATAAGATACTAGAAGAAGATCACAAAGGGAGAAAAAGAACAAGGCGACGGACAGCCTCTGTGAAGGAAGGTCAGTTCAAACTTTGGGAGGGAAGTTCACTGTTTTAAAATGAGACGTAGGCCAGGCGTGGTGGCTCACACCTGTAATCCCGACACTTTGGGAGGCCGAGGCGGGCGGATCACCTGAGGTCAGGAGTTTGAGACTAGCCTGGCCAACATGGCGAAACCCCGTCTCCACTAAAAATACAAAAATTAGCGGGGTGTGGTTGCGGGCGCCTGTAGTCCAGCTACTCAGGAGACTGAGGCACAAGAATTGCTTGAAACTGGGAGGTGGAGGTTGCAGTGAGCTATCACGCCACTGCACCCCAGCCTGGGTGACAGAGCAAGACTCTGTCTCAAAAATAAATAAAATAGAGATGTGATTATCACTGGCTAATTGTACACTTAGGAATGGGCACCAGATGTATAGGAAATGGCAAGTTTTTCATGATGCATCCTGATCTTGAAACTTTCTCTTTGATTCAAGCAATTCTCCCCTGCCTCAGCCTCCCGAGTAGCTGGGATTACGGGTGCCCACCATGACGCCCCGGTAATTTTTTCACTTTTTAGTAGACACGGAGTTTCACCGTGTTGGCCAGGCTGGTCTCGAACTCCTAACCTCAGGTGATCCACCCACCTCAGCATCCCAAAGTGCTGGGATTATAGGCGTGAGCCACCATGCCCGGCCCCTGAAACTGCTTCTAAAGTGAGAATTCACTAAGTGTAGATTGTACTATTTCCCTAACTTGTTCTGCCTGCCACACTAAACAGAAAAGTCTCAAGTTATCCTGTAAGAGCACTGTGTACATGAAAGAGTTCCCCAGAAATAAGAAATGTGGTAGAAATAATGAGAGGTCTCATTTATTGGGCAGTTATGTCCTAAACACAGTGCTGAGTGTGTTTTGTCCACGTAATTCTTTGTGTCTTAATGACCTTGTGTAGTGTAGGTACACTTTGTTGTTGTTGTTGTTGTTTAGTTTGAGACGGAGTCTTGCTCTGTCCCCCAGGCTGGAGTGCAGTGGTGCCATCTCGGCTCACTGCAACCTCCGCCTCACGGGTTCACGCCATTCTCCTGCCTCAGCCTCCTGAGTAGCTGGGACTACAGGCGCCCACCACCGCACCTGGCTAATTTTTTGTATTTTTAGTAGAGACGAGGTTTCACCGAGGTCTCGATCTCCTGACCTTGTGATCCACCCGCCTCAGCCTCCCAAAGTGCTGGGATAACAGGCTTGAGCCACTGCGTCCGACCAGTGTGGGTCCCTTTTTTTTTTTCTTTTTTTTGTAGGTATTTTTTTATGCCCATTTCATAGATGAGCAAATGGAGGCTCAGAGGGCTTAAGTAACTTAAAGACACTTAAGGTAGTCACCATGGAAATAAGTAGTGAAGTTAAGAGTAGAGCAAGATGCTTCGGGCCATCAGAGCTTACCTTCTTCATCATGGTATTAGGCCTTCCCAGGTCAGTTGTTTGTGATTTGCCTTCTCTCAAACTTAGTTTCAGGCCAAGCACGGTGGCTCATGCCTATAATCCCAGCACTTTGCGAGGCCAAGGCGGGTGGATCGTTTGAGGTCAGGAGTTTGAGACCAGTCTGGCCAACCTGGTGAAACCCTGTCTCTACTGAAAGTACAAAACTTAGCTGGGTGTGGTGGCGCCTGCCTGTACTCCCAGCTACTGGAGAGGCTGAGGCAGGAGAATTGCTTGAATCCAAGAGACAGAGGTTGCAGCGAGATTGCGCCACTGCACTCCAGCCTGGGAGACAGAGTTGAGACTGCCTCCAGAAAAAAAAAAACTTAGTTTCCTCAGCTGTAAGATGGGGTCAGATATCTCCCTTGGTAAATTGAAGGAGCCAGAGCTAATGTGTGTGAAGTATCTGCTGCAGAGTGGGAGCCCATTGTTCTGCAGACAGTCATTTTTTAGGGCAGTGACCTGACTCTGAGGTGGCCAGTCCCAGACTGGTGGTCTTGGGAAGGAGGCAGTGAAGAGCCAGGTGGGAACTAACCTGAGTTAAAGTACTGGGGCTGCCGCTTAGAAAAGGATAATTTTAGACAAAATTTTGACAGCTGGGCCTGTTTCTTTGTAAAGTGAAGAACAATGCCTATCATAACTTAAGGGTTACTTTTAGCATTGACGAACACATGTACCTATCAGAACTCAGCTTTCAAGAAGGCACTCAGTAAATTCTAGCTGCTTCAAGCTTTCAGGGTTAGTTGAAAGCCTTTTGGCAGATACTAGGCAACCAAAGGGGAAAGCTTTTTTTTTTTGAGACTGAGTTTGCTCTGTCACCCAGGCTGGAGTGCAGTGGCACGATGTCTGCTCACTGCAAGCTCCGCCTCCCGGGTTCACACCATTCTCCTGCCTTAGCCTCCCAAGTAGCTGGGACTACAGGCGCCCGCCACCACGCCCGGCTTTTTTTGTATTTTTAGTAGAGATGGGGTTTCACCGTGTTAGCCAGGATGGTCTCGATCTCCTGACCTTGTGATCTGCCTGCCTTGGCCCCCCAAAGTGCTGGATTACAAGCATGAGCCACTGCGCCTGTCCTCTATTTTTTTTTTTTTGAGATGGAGTCTCACTCTGTTGCCCAGGCTGGAGTGCAGTAGCCTGATCTCTGCTCACTGCAACCTCCACCTCCCGCGTTCAAGTGATTCTCCTGCCTCAGCCTCCTGAGTGGCTGGGATTACAGGTGTGCGCCACCATGCCCAGCTAATTTTTTGTATTTTTAGTAGAGATGGGGTTTCACCGTGTTAGCCAGGATGGTCTTGATCTCCTGACCTCATGATCCGCCTGTCTCAGCCTCCCAAAGTGCTGGGATTACAGGCGTGAGCCACTGCGCCTGGCCTGGGAAAGCTATTTTAATAAATAAGGGAAAAGTCAATGCCACCTAACATTTTGATGAAGACAAATATAAGCAGAAATAAGCTGATGGCATTTATTTAGAAGGAGAAAGAAATGGAGAATCACAATACTCATCTTCTTTTGTAGTCTTGAAAATGTAGTGCATATTACCATTATTTTTGTGCTATCACACATTCTTCCCTAGGATAATGTAAGAAATTGATAGTTAATTTGGAAGACTTTGCTATTAAGTTGGCTTTGAGATATGTCTTTGTCTCATTCTTAATTAAAGCAGCATCCAATAAAGCACCTCTTTAACGATAAAGATCAGGCTTCTGGTGAGAAAAAATTGTTTTTCTTAAGTGAGGTGAAATCTGAATTTCAACCATTCTTGTATCAAGTGCAGGAGCCAGGAGTGAGATAGATTGAGTGGCACCTCCTTATTTTACAGATGCAGAGAGAGATTGAGACCCAGAGAGAAGGGATGGATTTCATGGCAGAGCCTGGAGTAGAATCCAGGGGTCTTGGTTCATCCCATTAGATAACTACAGAATGTCTCTAGGTTGCCCTTGCTATGTATTTAAAATAAATTAAAACAAATAAAAACATTAAAAACTAAGATGTCAGATGCCTTAAATGTTAGCATCTGGCAGTTTCACTTTATCTCCCCATCCTAAAATCAACTGAACATTATAGAGTATACTTGGCACTATAGAGTAAGACAAAGCTGGTTAGACCAGGTTACCTACCCTCAGAGAGTTTAGCCTCACAGAGAGTTACTGTTATACAGTGTGATAAGTACTCAGATGACACAAGGATTATAGAGAAGGTGGCAATTAATTTTACTGGGTAGGGCAAAACTGGGTAGGCAGGGCAGGCTTCCCGGAGAAGGTCACATTTGAATTTCGCCTTGAAGGATGAGCTACAACAACCAACTGTAGGCAAGTGAAAATTACCCTTATGCCAGGTTTCTCATAAATACTTTAGGTTGCTGAGTTCTGACTGTAGTGGTGCTACAGGTGCATGGGCAAAAGCAGAGCTAAATTAATTTGGTTCCATTTTCAAGCAATAAGAGACTTGCAAAGACTATCCTTTAAAAAAAAAAAAAAAAATCACTAGAAAAAGAACTGGGTATGGTGCTGGACACAGTGGCTCACTACTATAATCCTAGCACTTTGGGAGGCCAAGGCAGGAGGATCACTTGAGGTCAGGGGTTCAAGTCCAGGCTGTGCAGTTTAGCGAGACTCAGTCTCTACAAAGAATTAAAAAATTAGCCAGAGATGGTGGTGTGCACCTGTGGTCCCAGCTACTCTGGAGGCTAAGGCAGGGGGATCACCTGAGCCCAGGAGGTAGAGGCTACAGTGAGCTGTGATCGTGCCACTACTCTCTAGCCTGTGCAACAGAGCAAGACCCCATCTCAAAAAAAAAACCAAAAAACCCTCCACTATAGAAGATACGAAGTTCTGAGGAAGGGAACCATAATCCTCCCCCTATCCTGTTGGTGTTCTGGCTTTATTAAGGCTTTTTTCCTCTTCTGCCTCCCATAGAAGGGAGACTGTTTTATTCTTGCAACTGCAGTACCTGCACAAGAAGTCTGCTTTTCAAGTCATCTGTGGCTCTTCTACATGTATATTGATGGGTGAAACCACAGAGGGACACTGGAGTTTACTTATCAGATGGTTTTTATCCTGGTTTTGCTTTCAGGTATAGTAGAGTGCAATGGAGGAGTGGCCGAAGAAGATGAAGTGGAGGTCATCCTTGCACAGGAGCCCGCAGCTGATCAGGAAGTGCCAAGGGATGCCATCTTGCCTGAGCAGTCCCCAGGAGAATTTGACTTTAATGAGTTCTTTAACCTTGATAAGGTGCCATGCTTGGCTTCGGTGAGTGTAGCAGCACACTTAAAAACGTGTGGTTAAATTTGACCTGAGTATTTAAGACATCTTTTTGAAAGTGTTGTTTTGCTAGATGCTTTTGGGGTTTTTGGCTTTTATTCTTACATATTTAAATTTTTGTTGGCTTTGTTTTGAGAGGCCTAATGGATAATAAGAGATTTTTTTTTTTTTTTTTTGAGATGGAGTCTCGCTCTGTCACCCAGGCTGGAGTGCAGTGGCCGGATCTCAGCTCACTGCAAGCTCCACCTCCCGGGTTTACGCCACTCTCCTGCCTCAGCCTCCCGAATAGCTGGGACTACAGGCGCCCGCCACCTCGCCCGGCTAGTTTTTTGTATTTTTAGTAGAGACCAGGTTTCACCATGTTAGCCAGGATGGTCTCGATCTCCTGACCTCGTGATCCGCCCGTCTCGGCCTCCCAAAGTGCTGGGATTACAGACTTGAGCCACCGCGCCCGGCCATAATGAGATTTTTGTGCCAGTTAACTCTCTTTTAAGCCGGTGGTGTTAGACTAAAAATTCCTTTTTTTTTTTTTTTTTTTTTTGAGACTGAATCTCTTTCACCCAGGCTGAAGTGCAATGGTGCGATCTCGGCTCATTGCTACCTCCGTCTCCCGGGTTCAAGTGATTCTCCTGCCTCAGCCTACCGAGTAGCTGGGATCACAGATGCGTGCCACCACGCCTGTCTAATTTTTGTATTTCTAGTAGAGACGAGGGTTCACTATGTTGGCCAGGCGGGTCTTGAACTCCTGACCTTGTGATCCACCTGCTTTTCAGCCTCCCAAAGTGCTGGCATTACAGGTGTGAGCCACCACGTCCGGCATACAAATTCTTTAGATGTTTACATTGTCTCCTTTTAGTTGTTTGTTATAGACTTACTGTGAAGGTGGCTTTTTATAACTGACAATTGTTGTCACACTGATCTGCATTCCTTGGAGGAGGCTGCCTGGTTGATACTTTTTGGATGTGATGGTTCCAAAAACCTTTAATGAAAAGGAACTTGTAATACTTTCAGCATTGCTGTTAAACTCTTGAGGTTCAGTCTTTCTGGACTTTAAAAGTAGTAGTAAGCTCTCCCTGAATCTTTTGCTACCCACCCTTGCTCCTGCCCCATCAGCATTTATGGATTAGTACCTACTCCTTAATCATAACTGCTCCTTATTTGATTATTGTATGAGCGGACACAGCTGGGCACAACAGAGCAGGCAACATTGGTCTGTCTCCATTGTCACTGCCTGTTCCCCTACACCCAGAAGACTGCCACCAAGAATAAGTGAGCAGGCACTGTGTAGTACTGATAGGTACAGGGCCACAGATGTGTTCTTAGGCAGTCTTCTTAAATTTTTCTATGATGAGGTGCCAGGCTTTATTTCCATTCCATTGAAGAACAATATTTTAGTATAAAGTACAAATGTCATGACAATGCCAAATTGGTATAAAAGTTTCTTTTCTTTTTTTGGAGATGGAGTCTTGCTCTGTCACCTAGGCTGGAGTACAGTGGTGCAATCTTGGCTCACTGCAACCTCTGCCTCACAGGTTCAAGCAATTCTGCCTCAGCCTCCCAAGTAACTGGGACTACAGGCACACACCACCATGCCCAGCTAATTTTTTGTTTTTCAGTAGAGATGGGGTTTCACTGTGTTGCCCAGGCTGGTCTCAAACTCCTGAGTTCAGGCAATCCGCCTGCCCTGGCCTCCCAAAGTGCTAGGATTATAGGCATGAGCACCACACCCGGCTTTTTTTTTTTTTGGAGGAAAGGTCTCTGTCGCCCACACCGCAGTGCGGTGGTGCAATCTCAGCTCACTCTGCTTTCTGAGTTCAAGTGATTCTCCTGTCTCAGCCTCCCAAGTAGCTGGGATTACAGGCGCCACCAACACACCCAGCTAATTTTGGTATTTTTAGTAGAGATGAGGTTTCACCATGTTGGCCAGGCTGGTCTCGAACTCCTGAGCTCAAGTAATCTACCCGTCTTGGCCTACCAGAGTGCTGGGATTACAGGTGTGAGCCACCGTGCCCAACCAGTTTCTAAGCATTTATTCCCATTATTATCTCAATACAGATCAGCATGGTCCACACTTGTCTGTAGCACTGCTCTGAAGCATATGGAATGTGGCTCCAAAGCAATGTTGGCAACAATTTGTGTGGTTTTGTTCCTAAAGTTCCAGCAGCAATTTTAATTGTAAGTCTCCTAGCCAGTCCTTTGGATCATATCCAGATGCAAGTTTAATTTAGTAGATCTAAAACTGAGTGGCCCTTTCAAATTCTTAACTTCTGAGGGTATAGTATTTTTTTTCTTTTAGTGACTTTTTCTTTTTTCATTCTCTTAGAAGACAGATGGAATTTTTTTTTTTTTTTTTTTTTCTTTCGCGCGAGACAGATCTTTCCATCCACCCAGGCTGGAGTGCAATGATGTGATCTCGGCTCATTACAAGCTCTGCCTCCTAGGTTAAGGCGATTCTTGTGCCTCAGCCTCCTGAGTAGCTGGGATTACAGACACACACCACCACACCCAGCTAGCTTTTGTATTTTTAGTAAAGACAGGGTTTTACCATGTTGCCCAGACTGGTCTTGAACTCTTGACCTCCAGTGATCTGCCTGCCTCGCCCTCCCAAAGTGCTGAGATTACAGGCATGAGCCACTGCTCCTGGCCTAAACCTAAACTTTTAATAACAGGTAACATGCATATAGTGCTGATTGTTGCAGTAAGTTATCTGATCTTCACAAATCCCTTATAAATTAGATTACTATTTCCATTTACAGATGAGGAAATAGGCATAGAATTTAGATAACTTGCTCAAAGTCACACAGCCAGTAAATGGTGGAAACTGACTTCTAATTTATACAGTTCCAGTAATGAGTTTCTGCTCTTAACTCCCCCAAATATACTACCTCTGAAGCATATAGGTAGGAATAGCAACTGAGCACTGTTTGTCCTCTGGCCATTATCCTGAACCAAAACATGGTTAATGCTAAGCAGTCAGAACAAAGCCATTAACTCTGTCTCCATGCTTTCTGTGGAGGTGTTGTTAAATTATATATTCTGTAATCCACTAAAAAGCAAAACTGAGGTCAGTAAAAACAGATGCTGTGTGTTATATAACCAACTGAACTCTAATACAAAGTACTCAGAAAATTACAAGTCAATTGGGAAAAATAAGAAAGGCTGTAAAGGATATGAATATCAATTGACAAGTATGTAAGTGCTTAAAACAGTATTGGAGGCCAAGCGCGGTGGTTCATGCCTATAATCCGAGCACTTTGGGAGGCCAAAGCAGGAGAATGGCTGAAGCAGGAGAATGGTGTGAACCTGGGAGGCGAAGCTTGCAGTGAGCCAAGATCACACCACTGCACTCCAGCCTGGGTAACAGAGTGAGACTCCGTCTCAAAAAAAAAAACAAAAAACAAAAAAAGTGTTGTATGCTTAGTAAGCTCTACAAATGTTGGGTGTTAATAAATATAAACAGAACTTTATAACAAAAGTGAGAATACACTACCTTTTATATAACTTAACCAAATTATTAGGCTACAAAGGAAATCGCAAATAACGCATTTGTTCGTTTTATTTAGAAATATTTATCAAAGGCTGAGGCAGGATCACTTGAGGCCAGGAGTTTAAGACTAGCTTGTGAGACCCTGCTACAAAAATAAATAAATAAAAATAAGCTGGGAGTGGCGGTGTGCTCCTGCAGTCCTAGCTATTCAGGAGGCTGAGCCCAGGAGTTTGACGCTACAGCAAGCAATGATCACACCACTGTACTCCAGCCTAGGCGACAGAAAAAGACCCTGTCTCAAAACAAATTATTGAGTAGTTCTAACCTCTGGACACTGTTCTAGGAACTAAGGCTATGGTAGTAAACAAAATAAAGTTCTCATCCTCATAGAGCTTACTTACAAGCCGAAGAAACACAAGGATCAGAAATATACACGCACATACACATGTATTTGTGGACTATATTCACTTAGAAATTGACAAATTAAAAGCCAGAAAAATGTATACAAACTGAACATTTGGAATGCCTGCAAATTTAAATAAGTAATTTAAAAAAAATTTTTTTTTTTTTTTTTGAGACGGAGTCTCGCTCTGTCGCCCAGCCTGGAGTGCAGTGGCCGAATCTCGGCTCACTGCAAGCTCCGCCTCCCGCGTTCCCGCCATTCTCCTGCCTCAGCCTCCCGAGTAGCTGGGACTACAGACACTCGCCACCTCGCCCGGCTATTTTTTTGTATTTTTTTACTAGAGACGGGGTTTCACCGGGTTAGCCATGCTGGTCTTGAACTCCTGACCTCAGGTGATCCGCCCACCTCGGCCTCCCAAAGTGCTGGGGTTACAGGCTTGAGCCGCCGCGCCCGGCCAAAAAAATTTTTTTAAATATGGTACTCTTACTACAGTGCATGACACATGATAGATGCGTAACTATATTGAATGAAATCAAATTGGAAATACTGAATGTTTTAGAGTGATTAGCAGGAAGATCAGAAAAGTATGTGCAGAAGAAAATGTATAACCTTAAATGAATTCATTAGAAATCCAAACAAAAAGAAACTAGTGAAACAAATACAAAATGTAAAAATTACTATAAAAATGGAAAGCATTGATCAGTACAACCAAGTAACTGTCAAAAAGCAAAAATATTTCATGGATTCTGTTTGATTGGCAGAATGACATTATGAATCCAAGGATGTGATTTGTCTAAATGACCTAGCTTGAAGGACCAGACTAATAGCCATACAGGTTACCTTAAAAATGGTATTAAAAATCTACTCTAATGAAGGGCAGCTGAAACACAAATTGCAGTTCCCAGGCTCCTCTTCTCAATCAGCTGATGGCTGACAATGATGTGGCAGAGGAGATACCCTGACCAAGAAGGCAGAGATATGGGTCCAGGTCTTTACTTCCTCTAGCAAGGTACCTTGTGAGGGAGGCCCTGCTATAGAATGTCCTATTTTGCTATGTGATAAAAATTACTGACTAGATAAACTTTAGGTTTAACCTTTTCATGTTTAAGATGCTTCAGTTTCTTGAAATTAGTATTTCTGCTAAATATGTGTAAAAGCGACTTGTTTCTGCTTGTTATGCTTTAACTATAATAAAAGTTTTGCTTCTCTAACAGAAGCAAAATTGGTTATTAGACAAAATATGGACGTGACTTTCAACACTTACTTTAATATCTTTAGGGAATGTCCAGATACTCTGTATTAATCTCCTTTGCTTTCTCATGTTATTTCTTTGTATCTTTCTTTTTTTCTTTTGCAGTATGATCATAATGGAGGAAATAAAAGTTAAAATGCAAAGCCATTATTTTTGCTATTTGTAAATTTCAAACTCTTTTCAACACTGAAACATTTTTAATTATGTTTTTAAGTTTTTTTGTGGGTTTTTTTTGTTTTTTGTTTTTGAGATGAATTCTCACTCTGTCTCCTAGGCTGGAGTACAATGGTGCCATCTTGGCTCACTGCAACCTCCGCCTCCCGGGTTCAAGTGATTCTCCTGCCCCAGCCTCCTGAGTAGCTGGGATTACAGTTGCCCACCACCACACCCAGCTAGTTTTTGTATTTTTAGTGCAGACGGGGTTTCACCAGGTTGGCCATGCTGGTCTTGAACTCCTGACCTCAGGTGATCCACCCACCTCGGCCTCCCAAAGTGCTGGGATTACAGGCATGAGCCAGCGCACTTGGCTTTTTAAAGTTATTTTTAGAATTCCTGTTTATCACTAAGATACTTATATTTTGGATACACTCCCCCAATTTTTCACAGTGATGTATCATGCTTATCTTATATATTAATTAATACAAAATTAGTGCACTTAAAAGTCAGCATTATTTAAGGTATGAGCATCTACAGGTGGAATGTGATTGAAATTGTCTAGATAATTCCTCTGAAAATAGAAATTATGGAAACAATAATTAGGGTCTCGAATTAAAATCCCTTCAAAAGAAGTATTTTGTGGCTTAGTTTGGGTATGGATTATGAAAACATTCTTCCAGAGAAGAACAAAGCATAAATCTAAGCTTCCCCTGCTTAACTTTGGAAACTGTGGGTTCCAGATTTCAAGTAAAACAGTCACTAATTCTGTCATCCATGTACCAGTTTTTGAAAAAGCATGTTTTCTGTTTATCAGTGGGATTGAAGTGAAAGTATATGATTTATTTTCAAGGATATGTCTGATTTTTGGATAGATGTTTGCTCTCTCTTGTCTTTTCTAAATATTGATATGAATACTGCAAAAAATCAGTTTTGGATATTTGACTGAATTTATGGTATGATGTGAATTGAAAAACTTTTTAAATGCTTAAATTTAGTTTTTAAGAAAGATTGGCACTATTTCGTAATTTTTACCAAAGCAATTTATTGTTCATAGTGTGTTATTTAATTGTCCTTATTAAATGAAAACTATGGAGGTTGGATTTGGAAACAGAAAACACCTGAAAACTCTCAATTGATCTCAAACAGAGATCAGTTGTAATTTCATCTTCCACAGTCATACTTTTTCTAAACTTTGACTTGGAATTATGGTCTTTATGAGCTCTATTTTTTTTAGCCTTTGGCTTCTGAAACTCACAGGATTGAATTTCATAATGTTCATTACAACCTTGAAACCACTAAGTTTGAAGCAATGGTTTTCTTTCATCAGTTCCCTATTCTTGATGTTTAGTTGAAGGTCACTCATCAGCTTGTCAGTGGAATGCTGTGGCATTGACACTGTTCTCTGAGAACATTTGGTAGTACATGGATTTACTCCTGAGGCAAAGAATAGAAAACTGAAGAACTTTTTGTAGCATAGAGGCTTTGCTTTATATTCTTAGAAAGTAGGCTGGGCACGGTGGCTCATGCCTGTAATCCCAGCACTTTGGGAGGCAAAGGTCGGTGGATCATTTGAGGTCAGGAGTTCGAGACAAGCCTGGCCAACATGGTGAAACCCCGTCTCTACTAAAAATAAAATTAAAAATAGCCAGGTGTCTGGTGGCATATGCCTGTAGTCTCAGCTACTCGAGAGCCTGAGGCATGAGAATCACTTGAACCTGGGAGGCAGAGGTTGTAGTGAGCCAAGATTGCACCCCTGCACTGCAGCCTGGGCAACAGAGCAAGACTCTGTCTTAAAAAAAATAGTAATAAAAAAGGAAAGTAGATAGTTGGTTATACTCAGAAATTACCCAGGAAGGAGGAAGAAAAAGGTGTTCAAATTCCTAGGTTCTGAAAATGTTTATCTTCAGGTCACCAGCATCAAAGGAAATTTCAAAGTAAGTGACCCTTTCATAAGATTTAAACCTTCTTGTCCTTTTTCATCTAGAAACTATTAGTTTTTATTGTCTTTTTCTTCAGATGATAGAAGATGTTTTGGGAGAAGGGTCAGTCTCTGCCAGTCGGTTCAGTAGGTGGTTCTCTAACCCGAGCAGATCAGGAAGCCGATCCAGCAGTCTTGGGTCAACACCACATGAAGAGCTAGAGAGACTTGCAGGTAAAATGGCTTCAGATTCTGCCCTTGAAGGTAAACCTGGGTTTTTTCCTGATACGGTTCATTCGTCTTCATTAGTCAGGAGTCGATTAGGGTCAAAGGGTCTCTGGACAACTGAAAAGCCTTCAATTTGTGTCCTTTTAATATTGTTGAAGGGGCCGGGTGCAGTGGCTCATGCCTGTAATCCCCACACTTTGGGAGGCCAAGGCGGGCGGATCACCAGGTTAGGAGTTCGAGACCAGCCTGGCCAACACAGTGAAACCCCATCTCTACTAAAAATACAAAAATTAGCCGGGCGTGGTGGCAGGCATCTGTAATCCCAGCTACTCGGGAGGCTGAGGCAGGAGAATCTCTTGAAACCGGTAGATGGAGGTTGCAGTGAGCTGAGATTGCACCACTGCACTCCAGCCTGAATTAAAGTGAAACTCCATCTCAAAAAAAAAAAGAAAGAAAGAAAAATACAGTTGAAGGCATGTTTCTTTACTGAAACAGATTAATTTTGAGTATGTTTATTTGCAATATCAGGTCTGGAGCAAGCCATCCTCTCTCCTGGACAGAACTCGGGGAATTACTTTGCTCCTATACCATTGGAAGACCATACTGAAAATAAAGTGGATATTTTAGAAATGCTACAGAAAGCCAAAGTGGATTTGAAACCTCTTCTTTCTAGCCTTTCTGCAAATAAAGAAAAACTTAAAGAAAGCTGTAAGTGTTTATAATTTTTTAGATATCTGAAAAAGTCTAGATGTTCAGTCTTCAGGCAGTTGGGTCTAACATACCTCTGTTTCCTAAAAAGTCAAATATATATTGGGTTTTTGTTTAATGTTCTTTTTTAAAAACTCATTTCATCAAAGAATACCACCTCTTTGAGAATCTCACAGTAGGTCATGAGCCCTATGAGAACTTTTCCTATAAGTTCTTACCTAGGGTCTGGTTATAATAATCCAGTGAATGTTGAAAACAAACTCCAGTGAATGTTTTATTCCTCCAGAGCATAACTTACCATTTCCTCACAAATCTGCCCTAGTCTTCCATATTCTTGCTTAGGCTATAAATCCTCAACATAAAAACTTAGTGATATACTGACCACAGTGCAGGTAGGAATCTTGGCAATGTTGGGCTATCTGGGATTCTTGTCCCAGGTAACAAGTCTCCTAGAAGACTCATATCCTTCTGCAGGATGCACAGCAGGATCTTGTCAAGTTTTAAAGCATAGCACCTCATATTTGTGATCCCCCAGTATCTAGCATCTAAGCATTTTAGGTTTAGTTTATGCCATCTCTTAGTACACAATTTGATTTTAAGTGTTACTAGTTTGTCTATTTTTGGTGTCAGTCTTTTCTGACAGTCTTATCTCAATTTTGAAATAAATTATTTTCATCTTATCTATCATACTAGCCAAAGAGAATTCCTACCAGATATCTCTTTGCTTGATTTAACCTGGACATTCTCAACTTCTCAGCACATTCAGGGGTTGTGCTTTCTGTGGAGGAGGTAGAAGCAGGTCTGAAGGGCTTGAAGGTGGACCAGCAAGTGAAGAATTCAACTCCTTTCATGGCAGAACACCTAGAAGAGACCTTGAGTGCTGTAACCAACAATCGACAACTCAAGAAAGACGGAGACATGACTGCGTTCAACAAGCTAGTGAGCACCATGAAGGCAAGTGGGACTTTGCCTTCTCAGCCCAAAGTCAGCGTAAGTATCTGGCACAAACCCACCCTTTTCTTTTTTTTTTTTTTTTTTTTCTTTTTCTCCTTTTTCCCACCACAAAAAATGGATTTTTAAAAAGGTATTCTGAGTAAGTTGGAAATTCTTTAGTAGTCATTTGGTCCTTGATGCTTTTGTGTGTTCCTTAATTATTAATACACTATTCGTTACTGGAGAAAGCAGGCTTGTGGTTAATTTATATGTATTGTGGGTAACAGTATAAAGATTAAAAGATTCAGTCTTATGTAATGCCTGTATAACTTTAAGTCACTGCTAAAATGAGGTAAAAAACCATCTTTTTGGATGACCTCCAGAGAAAATTTTGTTATTCAGCTACTTAAGTTCATATACTTTACCATATTTGTATAGTAAAATCTTTATTCACATCTTCTAATTATTGCCAGATACCAGGGATTACCTGCTTTCTTACAGCCATAGAAATCATTTGTAAAGTATCTAAGATGGGGCTGGGCACAGTGGCTCATGCCTGTAATCCTAGCACTTTGGGAGGCTGAGGCAGGCAGATCACCTGAGGTTAGGAGTTTGAGCTGGCAAACATGGTGAAACCCCATCTCTACTGAAAATAACAAAAATTAGCCAGGCGTCGGGGCAGGCACCTGTAATCCCAGCTACTTGGGAGGCCAAGGCAGGAGAATTGCTTGAACCCGGACAATGGAAGTTGCAGTGAGCCGGGGTTGCGCCACTGCACTTCAGGCTGGGCAACAGAGTGAGACTGTCTCAAAAAAAAGTAAGATGGGTTTGTCAAGATAATTACATTCTGTTAATTTACTAAGGGAAAAAGCTGTGGCTCCAAATTAAAAACAAAACTTGTAGGCATGAAGTTAGGTTACAGGGTGACACAACTGCATATCACCTTGTAAATGCAAGTGTTTATAATAATCTGGTCTTTGTCCTAACAATTTTGAGAGGGTAGTTCTCACCCATAGCGTATGTGTTAATATCACTATCTCTTGATACAAACTAATGGGGAGGCAGGGTAGATATGAATAATAAAATCATAAACATGGACTTATTCTAGTTGCTAAGTTCTAGCAAATTTACCAAATTGAGTTTTCCCTCTTTTTTTTCCTGTTCCCTGCTTGCTTGGGAACTTACCAGTTAGCTAAGATGCAAATAGCAATAGCTGTTTGAATCATTATGCCTTACACCGAAAGAAAGCAACTGACTTTTAGCATTCCTTATCTGACCAATAGTGCTAGAGATGTCAACATCCTCAGACAGAGGTGCCATTATTCCTTAGTGCCAGGACCGACCTTCTACCCTTGAAAGGAGGCACCTCAGATAGGTAGACTGACTTCTTTGTATCTGACCACACCATACCAGTTGCAGGAGAATGTCCCTGTAAACTGCTTTAGAATTATTTTTATACAAAGAATTATTATATACAAATACTTTCAAATGAAGACCAAACTGAAAGACGGTAGACTATCCTATTTTCCTTTCTTGTTACCTTTGTGTCTTGGTAATTGGGTGCTGGCTGCAATGGTGTGGTTCATATCTTGTAATTAGCCTCTTTCTTTTGGTGTGAGCAACTAAAAATATGGAAGGGGGATTCAGCAGTTTACCTGATGTTTTTCCACATTTTATTGTAGATATGATTCTAGGATTTGATATTAACACAATTTACTCTTGAGTTGTAAGGGCAATTGGTTTGATGTTGGGTTTTTAGTACTCTGAAGTATATCTGGTTTTAGCTGAGCAAATGAGCCTCAAACACCTGCCAAAGGGATAGATGACACATATTCAAGTGGCTAGGCAAAGGCTAAGACAAACTCAGCTAACAGGAAAGAACGCAACAAGGAAAGTAATGGAATAAGAATAGCAGGTGTTATCTCAAAATATTGCTCAATTTGCATGTTGTTAAGTCATGGTTTACTTTTTGAATTTAGCGTCTTTAATTACTACTGCTGTGTATGTTTTGTATACTATTTCTGATCTGCCTTTGTCCATTTCGGTTGTCATATTGGTTCATCCAAAAGTAATACATGCTGGTTCAATCTAAATTATATTTTAAATTATAAATTCTATCCTCTAAGTATAATAAGCCATGTGGTATAAAGTTGTCTATTTGTTTTCATTAGATGGAAGTAAATGACTCTTAAAGAGATTACTTATAAAATAATCTGCCTTTAGTCCCAATTCCAAAATCAACAATAAAATACTTGGGTATCCTTGGGCTATTTGTCATGCCTAGACACTGCTTTGGACTTTGACAGCTCCATCTAGGGAAAGGGAAACTATACCAGAGAAAGCACTTCACGCAGAGCTAAATGGGCATAGGGATGTCCTGAAGTGCAGGAGGGAACTCCAGGCTGGATGCACAAAATGTAACCACTGGCCAGACCTGGTGGTGTACACCTATAGTTCCAGCTACTTGGGAGGCCAAGGTGAGAGGGTTGCTTGAACCCAGGAGTTCAAGGCCAGCCTGAGAACACAGCCTGAAGAACATAGACCTGTCTCAAAAAAAAAAAAAAAGGCCGGGCGCAGTGGCTCAAGCCTGTAATCCCAGCACTTTGGGAGGCCGAGGCGGGCGGATCACAAGGTCAGGAGATCGAGACCATCCTGCGCGAACACGGTGAAACCCCGTCTCTACTAAAAATACAAAAAAAACTACCGGGCGAAGTGGCGAGCGCCGTAGCCCAGCTACTCGGAGGCTGAGGCAGGAGAATGGTGTGAACCTGGGAGGCGGAGCTTGCAGTAAGCCGAGATCCGGCCACCCGCACTCCAGCCTGGCGACAGAGCCAGACTCTGTCTCAAAAAAAAAAAAAAAGTAACCACTACTGCTTTAAGAGTAGAGGATTTGAATTTTGCCCTGTAGTGATACCCATTTTGGAACAGTCGCTTAAAAAATAATAAAGTTGGCCGGGCGCGGTGCTTCAAGCCTGTAATCCAGCACTTTGGAGCCGAGACGGGTGGATCACGAGTCAGGAGATCGAGACCATCCTGCGTAACATAGGTGAGAACCCCGTCTCTACTAAAAATACAAAAAAAACTAGCCGGGCGCGGTGGTGGGCGCTGCTAGTCCAACTGACTCGGAGGCTGAGGCGAGATTAATGGCGTGAACCCGGGAGCGGGCTTGCAGTGAGCTGAGATCCGCCACTGCACTCCCAGCCTGGCGCAGAGCGAGACTCGTCTCAAAAAAAAATAATATAATAATAATAATAAAGTTGCTGGGCGCAGTGGCTCATGCCTGTAATCCCAGTACTTTGGGAGGCCAAGGCGGGCAGATCACGACGAGGTCAGGAGATCGAGACCATCCTGGCCAACATGGTGAGACCCCATCTCCACTAAAAAGAAAGAAAAAAAAAAAATTAGCCGGGCGTGGTGGCACGTGCCTATAGTCCCAGCTACTCAGGAGGCTGAGGCAGGAGAATTGCTTGAACCCTGGAGGCAGAGGTTGCAGTGAGCCGAGATTGCGCCATTGCTCTCTAGCCTGGGTAACAGGGCAAGACTCTGCCTCAAAAAAATAAAATAAAATAATAAAGCTTAAATTTCCTGAAATATGAAACTCTGAAATATAACAATTTTGGCCAAACCTGCATGTTGTTTACTACGATTTTAAAACCATATGTGTAGGCTGGGTGTGGTGGGTCACATCTATAATCCCAGCACTTTGGGAGGCCAAGGCCAGAGGATTGCTTGAACCCAGGAGTTCAAGACCAGCCTGGGCAACATGGCAAAACCCCCTCTCTACAAAAAATATAAAAATTAGGTGGGTGTGGTGGCATACACCTGTAGTCCCAGCTACTCAGGAGGCTGAGATGAGATGATCGCTTGTGCCTGAGAGGTCAAGGCTGCAGCAAGCCATGATCGCACCACTGCACTCCAGACTGGGCAACAGAACAAGACCATGTCTCAGAATTTTATATATATGTGTGTGTGTCTCCAATAAATTTTGTTAAAGGTAATGGGTAGCAAGAGTTGTCTCAACTAAGTGTTCCCTGGTTTCACCATTTTTCTCCCTTTTTTTGGTCACAGTGTTAGAAACCGGGAAATGGACTTACGGTTAGCATAGTGAGGATCTCTGAGGGGACTTTGCATGTACATGCGAACAGTCTTTCCATCCCCAGATCTTTTTTGGGACCTATGTGATGAGAGCGGAACAAGTTGGTCTAAGTTTTCTGTGACTTGAGCATCATTCTTCTATTAACTCCCTAGGAGTACTTTATGCTTTCATGTGGTCCCCAATCTATCTGTAAGTTAAGTGAGTTAAGAAAGTTAAAACCAGTTTTCTTTTGACTTTTTTAGCGAAACCTTGAAAGCCATTTGATGTCCCCTGCTGAGATTCCAGGCCAGCCTGTCCCTAAGAACATCCTGCAGGTACTTCACAATCTTATACTGAGGCCTTGGAGTCTTGAACAGTAGTCTTCTGAACCAGTTTTGTTTAGTGGTCCAGCTTTGGGTCTTAGAAAATGATCTATGTTGCCTGGCAATCAGAGATGTGATATTGTTGCCTGACATAGTTTGGTGCTGCTGTTAATCTTAATGGGCAGGGGATGCGGGGTGGCTAAAAATGTTGACAAACTAAGCCTTGACTTCTAGTTTGCTTTGTAGTTTCTGTGGAACTTAAAAGTATCTAGCCAGGCACGGTGGCTCACACCTGTAATCTCAGCATTTTGGGAGACTGAGGTGGGGGGATCACCTGAGGTCAGGAGTTTGAGACCAGCCTGGCCAACATGGAGAAACCCTGACTTTACTAAAAATACAAAAATTAGCCTGGTGTGGTGGCACATGGCTATAATCCCAGCTCCTTGGGAGGCTGAGGCGTGAGAATCACTTGGACCCGGTAGGCAGAGGTTGCGGTGAGCCAAGATCACATCACTGCACTCCAGCCTGGGCAATAGAGTGAGACTCTCAAAAAAAAAAAAAAAAAAAGGAATCTCTATTTATAGCACTAAGACAGAGCAAATGTTGCTAGCTGAACATTCAGAGAAATGTGTCACATGTACACATGCCAAGTCCTTCAATTGAGCATGAGGGAGATCCATCTGTGGCTCTCAAAAGTTAATCCATAATTCACAGCCTCTGAGTAGAAGGAAGAACTAAGTTCACAGGGATTTGGCTTTTCTGCCTTTAGGAACTTCTGGGTCAACCAGTTCAGAGACCTGCTTCTTCCAATCTTCTGAGTGGCCTTATGGGGAGCTTGGAGCCTACAACATCTTTACTGGGCCAAAGAGCACCCTCTCCTCCCTTGTCACAGGTGTTTCAAACTCGAGCAGCCTCAGCTGACTACCTTCGCCCAAGAATACCATCACCAATTGGTAAATATACTTATTTGTCAAAAAGAAATATGAATTTATGGCCAGGCACAGTAGCTCATGCCTGTAATTCCAGCACTCTGGGAGGCCGAGGTGGTGGGCAGATCACCTGAGGTCAGAAGTTTGAGACCAGCCTGGCCAACATGGTGAAACCCCATCTCTACTAAAAATACAAAAACAGCCAGGCGTGGTGGTGCATGCCTGTAATCCCAGCTACGCAGGAGGCTGAGACAGGAGAATCGCTTGAATCCGAGAGGTGGAGGTTGCAGTAAGCCAAGATCACACCACTGCAATCCAGCCTGGGCGACAGAGCGAGACTCTGTCTCAAAAAAATAAATATTACACTTTTGGGGGATGCGGGAGCAAAGGTGGAAGATATCTTATTATCAGCTGCTCTTCTAGGTGAATATGTTCATGTTATAGATTTTTTTTTTAATTGAAATCTAACTGATCCAACTCTTTAGTCTTATTCCTTATTTTGGGAATTCAATCCAAAAAAAGTTAATTTGGCTTCTTAAATTTTTCTTTGATACAGTAGAAGTCAGTGTAGTGGTTCTCTGTGAAGCTATTGAGTTTTGATAGATAATCCACTGTTAAGTCTTATGGCTAATTAGGAATGTGACTGAAAGAAAAGTTCCAGAAAGTGTCTTAGCAGAGTTTTTACATGGAATGTCGTAGTGTTGTTCCTGCCATCGTAAGCTACTTTAGGCTGCTGGCCACTCTGGTTTCTGCCAAACAAACCTTGAGAGGCATTTTTTGAAATCTTCCGTCCACAGTCAAACAGATAGAATGAAGAGTGTGTGTACTCTCACAGCAATGGTGTCTGCTTTAATACCAGATGGCTTAGTGATAATAGGACAAATTGCTGGCTAGAAAAGCTCTTCTCTCCCAGAGAGAGGTCTTGGCTTTAAAAGGAGCAAAGCTGATGGCTTAGTTGAGAAGCAATTTAGACAGTGCTCTGGTTGAGGTCCACATAGCCCACTGTCAGGGCACAGAGGGAGAGGGACATCTGTCAGCCCAAGAAATCAGTGCTTTCCAAGAGATGGCGTTCAGCAAGAAATGGCATGCATTAATGAAAATGCCTCCCTGATGCACACATACCATCTTGGTACTCACTGAGACTGTAACTTTCCTGACAGGTTTCACACCAGGACCACAGCAGCTACTCGGAGATCCATTCCAAGGCATGCGCAAACCCATGAGCCCCATCACGGCCCAGGTCAGGCTGAGCTCTTTCTCAACTCAATCTCTTGCTTGCCCTTCACCCTATTGGTGCATGGGGAGTGGAGAGCTGAATTGTTGTGATTCTTAAAAATGGTTTTGAGGCCAGGCATGGCAGCTCATGCCTGTAATCCCAGCACTTTGGGAGGCAGAGGCAGGAGGATCACTTGAGCCCAAAAGTAAAAATGAGCCAGGTATAGTGGCATGCATCTGTAGTCCCAGCTACAAGGAGGCTGAGGCAGGAGAATCACTTGAGCCCAAGAGTTTTGAGACTGCAGTGAGCTACTGTACTCCAGCCTGGGTGGCAGAGTGAGACCCTGTCTCTAAAACCAATAAATGGTTTTGATCTATATTTCAAGCTAGTGAAGGTTAGACAATTTGCTGAATAATTCAAGTAATAAAATTGTTAATCTTGATCACTGCGATGGCAGCACAATTTAGTGAGGTTTGCAGTATCTAACTTTTCTCAGCTTCTGTTTAACTTACCTTTCTAAGAGTGAAGAGAGACCTTTGTAGAAAGTATGGTGTCCTCACTCTTCTCCTGACCCTCCCCTCTCCTTTTCAGCAGATGAGCCAGCTGGAGTTGCAACAGGCAGCTTTAGAAGGGCTGGCCTTGCCACATGACCTTGCTGTACAGGCAGCAAACTTCTACCAGCCTGGTTTTGGCAAACCACAGGTGGACAGAACCAGAGATGGATTCAGAAACAGGTAAATTACTAATCCTGCTCATGTGGAGATTTACAGATAAGTTTTCCTGAAACTAACAAATTACTTATCTGCAGTATAATTCTGTTGCACATACTGTGGTATGTTGTTCAGTATGTGGTAGAAATTCCATCCCAATCCAAATCAATAGAACAAATAGATTAAATAGAGAAAATACGATTAAATTCTGCAAGGCATAGGGTTTTCATTCTATATGGTTTTATTTCCGTTCTTGATTTATAAATGACTTTTTTTCTTTGAGTTTGCTAATTAGCTATATGGAAGGGATGCTGCTTCCCTAATTTACCTCACAAGATTGTTATGAGTAAATATATTTTAAAATCTTAGGATGTTTCTACCAGTTAAACAATTCATTTTTACAAATGCAACTAGCATAGCTCCTTATTCCTTTTCCCACAGATCCAATGTTCTTACCAAACTCCCTTGATGCAGGTTTGCTGCATCGACAGTTTCTTGGCCAGAGCTGATGGGTTTGTTGATGAGACTTGTTAACAAGTAGATTGCGGAGTTCACTCTCCTCCTCTTTTTCAATAGTTGCAACAAATGGTAAAATGAAATTATAAGTTGGGGAGAAAACGGAAAGGGGTGGCAATGTTATTTTAGTGTAAAATAAAACAGACAAAACTATATACAACAAATGTGTAGCTTACTATAAGGCAAACTTCCTTGTTAACTACTCAGAGGGCCTCCATGTGCCCTGTACCAGTAATACCCGTTTTCCTCCTCAGAACTCTCCACTGTCCAGCCTTTAAAAGTAATCACTACCTTAATTAAAAATAAGTAATTTATCACCAAAATACACATCCCTGAACACTATAGTTTAGTCCACCCTTAAAATACTTGGTACTTAATGTTTTGATGTGATTCTTAAAGTTACTACCACAGTGCCTCAGTGTTTTGCTTCACCTGTTAACCCTTTCAGAAGACACGAAGACCAGGAGATACCCTTACACAAGCACATCCTATTTATAGCACCCTTCAACCAAAACAGAGAGCTCCAGACTGGTCTGCTGAACCCCTCTCACATGCTTTCTCTCTATAGCATAATGCTGTTACCTAGTATTCATTGATGTGATTTGCGACTTTCAGAGTACTTTTAACTTTTTTTTTCTTTTTTTTTTTTTTTTTGAGACAGTCTCTTGCTCTATTGCCCAGGATGGAGTGCAGTGATGCAGTCTTGGCTCACTGCAACCTCCTCCTCCTGGGTTCAAGCAGTTCTCATGCCTCAGCCTCCTGAGTAAGTAGGATTACAGGAGTGTGCCACCACGTCCGGCTAGTGTTTTGTATTTTTAGTAGAGATGGGGATTCGCTATGTTGGCCAGACTTGAATTCCTGGCCTCAAGTGATTCACCTGCTTTGGTCCCCAAAGTACTGGGATTACAGGCATGAGCCACCACACCTGGCCCAGAATTTTATATGATCTTCACATCAACCCTGTGAGGTAGATGAGGGGAGATACATAACTGCATTTTACAGATACAGAAAACAGCTTTTTACAACATGGCTTACTCAAAACTAGCAAGCATATTTGAGTCAATGTCAGTCTAGCCTTCATGTTTTGGATCAGCGTCAGCCTCTTAGGTCCTCCCTGTGTACAGCTGTGTCCCTCCAACAAACATGCCTTTCCCCTTACCTTGCTTTTTTAAATTGTATTCATCACTGTCTAGCATACTATTTATTTTTTGTCTCCCTGCCTGTAGTAACCCCACTCCATCCTGCAGCCCCAAGAATATAACCTCCATGAGGCCAGAGATTCTTCTTCTTTTATTCACTGCTATATTCCAGGAACCTGGAACAGTGTCTGTAGCAGGTGCTCAAATATGTTTACCAGAAGGAATGACAGGTCATGTGGAACCCCCAGTTTGGGGTTCATTTTTTAGTCACTCAGAATAGTACTGATCTGTCTGCCCGTGTTGTCATATACACAGTCACAGCATGGCGGCAATGGGGGTACTAACTAGAAAGAAGCCATGAATTTAGATTTTCCATCTATCAGAGAACTTCAGGTCAGTGACTACACTTGGGTCTTGACCTTTGAGGCCTGATATCAATCTTGTGTAGACCAAGAGTGGTCCTAAAATAGCTGAAACTGTTGATTCTGTATTTGATTTGAATGAGTGTCACACAGAGCATCAGTTCTATGCCAGGCACTGCGCTAATTATGGCTGCTCCCTGCCCAGTGAAGCACAGCCAGCCCTAGAATGAAGGCCCATCCTAGCGCACCTCACTGGTGTAGTCTTCAGTAAACTATACACCAGCTCTGGATAACCCTATAATTCCAAGGCCCTCCCAAGTTCCTGTACCTGTTCCATCTACCTGAACTGTTGTTCTCTATCTTCAGCTTCTTGTTGATCACACCCAGTGGAATGCAGCTTCTTCCCCAGGAAGCATCCCTGCAATGCCTGTTATTCCTTCTCATCCCTCCATTTTCCCATTGTACTTTGTTGGTGCCTACTATCTACGTGCCTTGGTTTGCTCTAGGTGATTGTTTTCCCCACTAGACTGAGAGCTCTTACAAGACTGAGATCGTGTTTCATTTTGCTTTTGCCTTCCCTCAGAACTTAGCATGTACTTTTGCATACGTTAGGCCTAAATGCTTGGGAAATTGAATTGGATAAGGGAAAGGGGATGTTAAAATTCCTAGGCTGGTCTTGAGTATTATATGGTTTTAAGACTTGAAGTTAAGGAGATTGGGGTTCATGCTGATAATTGGTTTGTTCACAGGCAACAGCGAGTGACCAAGTCACCAGCACCAGTGCATCGAGGGAATTCCTCTTCCCCTGCCCCTGCTGCCTCCATCACAAGCATGGTCAGTGACCTTTAGTGACTGTGAAGGACTTAAAGGCTTCTCCCTGTTTGGTTGTGCATGTGTTGTACCACTGTGTGCCCTAAATGTCCTTGAGTTCCTTCCACAGGAATAACTGACCTAGTAGTCTTTCATACCTATTAGGTTTTTCCCCTTTAGGACAGTCTAAGTCTTGGGATTTTAATGAAGCCCCTATATTGGGGAAAGTATGTTCCAGTAGAGATGATCATGGGCCAGGGCACACGAGGTGATATAGTATGTTCAAAGAAGTGAACCAGGTGTGGGGAGACAGGAGGACAATAGTGAGAGAGAGGAGGTGAAGTGGACAGAGGTGACTGGTCAGACAGTGGCGAGTCTGTTGAAACTTGCAGAGGAGTTCACAAATTCGGATTCACCATTTCAGGTCTCAGTGATACAAACTAAGGCTGGAACAGAAGGGTTTGCTTATATGCAGTGACAAGTCTAGTTTTAAAACTTTATATCATTTATATCATTAAAAAATGTTTCATTCCAGCTGGGTGTGGTGGCTCACACCCGTAATCCCAGGACTTTCAGAGGCCAAGACAGGTAGATTGAGTTTAGGAGTTCAAGACCAGACTGGGCAACCTAGTGAGACCGTGTCCTCTACCCCAATACAAAAAATTAGTCGGGCATGGTGGTGCACATCTGTGGTCCCAGCTATACTCGGGAGGCCGAGGTGGGAGGATCACTTGAGTCCAGGAGGCAGGGGTTGCAGTGAGCCAAGATCATGCCACTGCCCTCCCTAGTGAGTCCCCGTCTCAAAAAAAAAAAAAAAAAGTTTCATTCCCCACAGATCTTTATCATCCAGTCAAAGCTGATAGAGAAGGAAAAAAAAACTTTGCTGTGTGCTTCAGAACCCCACATGGGTCTTTGTACCAGTGACCTTGAAGGCAGCAGGGTTTGGAAGGAATTTTTCTGTTTGTAAGTCATGCCCTGTCTCCTGCCATCAAAGATATGGGGTTGTTTGGTGAGAAAAGGCAAATGCAAAATAAAATCACCAAAGTAGAACTAGTGAAGAGATAAGAAATGACTCCAAATGATTAATCCTGATGGCTGAGGAGACTATTGAGATAAATTTGATTTTTCTGGTAGCCAAGTTAAGAAGGGAAGTATTAGGAGTATGGAGTAATTCTGGTTAATCCTGATGGCTGAGGAGACTATTGAGATAGTCTAGTAGCCAAGTGAAGAAGGGAAATATTAGGAGTTTGGAGTAACTTTGGTTCTGACATTGTCTTTGAAATGTCTTTTCACAGAAGGAAGGTCTGCTGCTCCAAGTTATATTTCTGGCCATGTTCTTTCTTGCCAGCCTAATCCCAGGCTGGGAAATGGGTAATGCAGAGGCTGCATAGGCATGTCCCCATTATCACAGAGTTGTAAGCAAGGGATAATGTACTTGGGACACTGCCTGTTTGCCCCATTCTGTTTTTCCTCCAGCAGCTACAGAACAGAATACTAGAGTTGGCCTTTGCTACCAATGTGGGGACTCTTTGTTGAGTAGATTGGCCAGTTAATCCTGGCTTAGTATTACAGAAAGGCACTTAGAGAATGTGCTAATGCCAATTGTTTTTCTCTGCAGCTTTCTCCTTCCTTTACCCCTACCTCAGTGATTCGTAAGATGTACGAGAGCAAAGAGAAAAGCAAGGAGGAGCCAATATCTGGAAAAGCAGCTCTTGGTGACAGTAAAGAGGATACTGAGAAGGCCAGTGAAGGTACTGCAGAGCTGTTAAGGGCACTGCTCAAGAAAGTATATAATGGAGAGAACATGGGCCTGAGTGCTGTGCTGTCCAGCCTGATATTCTATACAAAGCCCTGGGCAAGACCACTAGCTTCTCTGGACTATGGTTCTGTGTCAGTGAGAAGGTTCTGTGTGACACTGAGAAGAATTGCGCCAGCTCACAGTTGCTCAGTTGCTTGAAATTCTGACCAATCTAAGAGTGCTACTACTAGACGGGTAGAATGAGTGTTAGTTTAGAATCCTTAGTTAGGCTTCAAAGTTGAATAATTAGTATACTTATTTGGCAAATTAGTATAATTCAGCTAGTTTTACTTCTGAAAGATTATATCCAGCCTGTGGAGACTTAAGTGTCCAACATAGGAAACATGTGAGAGGCTTTTAGGAGTTGCACAGTAGGGATTGTGAAGGACATGGTAACGTGCGGATTCTAAATTAGGGTTTACACAGGTGTTACAGTATAGATCTGAGAGATTTTTGCCTGTGTTTGAGAAGGCTTGGGGTGGGTGGTGGGGAGGAAATCTTGTTGGTACTATTAAGACAGTTTGGTTCTTTGGCCACACTCTAATTGCCATTTAGATTTTGTTGTGATGGATTTGCATAATCTAGGCCATAGCCGTTTGTGCAGAGAAGGGTTCCCAACAATTCATCTTCTGGTCCTGTTTATTAAGCAAATGATGGTTCCTACTGTGTAGTTCTCTAAACTTGTTAAGGGTATCAGATAAGAATTGTGACCTTAAGAAATGAGATTTATTAGACCAGTGGGAGACTACAAGTGTTTGGGAGAAGTTTACCAAAATATTTCTTGTTTGGATCCTCACAGAGAACCTCCTGTCCTCCAGCTCTGTACCCAGTGCCGATCGAGACTCTTCTCCCACTACAAATCCAAAACTGTCAGCGTTACAGAGGTCTTCGTGTTCCACCCCACTGTCCCAGACCAGCCGTTACACCAAAGAACAAGATTATCGACCTAAAGCAACTGGGAGAAAAACACCCACCTTGGCATCCCCAGTTCCTACAACACCTTTTCTCCGCCCTGTCCACCAAGTTCCCCTTGTCCCCCATGTCCCTATGGTTAGGCCTGCTCACCAGCTTCACCCAGGGTTGGTACAGAGGATGCTGGCCCAGGGAGTACATCCACAGCATCTTCCAAGTTTGCTTCAAACTGGTGAGTTTCCAGCCTGACTTGGGTGTCATTTTGTGGGCCTAGAGGACAATTATTGGCATTGATGAAGTGCTATAATGTGGGAGATTTCCATCACTTAGAAAGATGTTACTAGAGTCTCCCATCTAACTAGCAGGCAGTGGGTCCAATCCAATCTCCTAGTCCTTTAAAACATTAGGAACCTAGCTTGAGGATTTTTTTTTTTTGTAGAGACAGAAGTCTCACTCGTCTCCCCGGCTGGAGTGCAGTGGTGCGATCTCAGCTCACCGCAACCTCCGCCTCCCGGGTTCAAGCAATTCTCCTGTCTCAGCCTCCCAAGTAGCTGGAACTATAGGTGCACGCCGCCAAGCCCGTATAATTTATTTTGTATTTTAGTAGAGACAGGGTTTCACCATGTTGTCCAGTCCGGTCTCAAACTCAGAATCCTAAGCTCAGGCAATCTATCCACCTCAGCCTCCCAAAGTGTCAGGATTACAGGCATGAGCCAGAGGAATTTTTTTTTTTGTGTCAGTCTCGGTCTGTCACCCAGGCTGGAGTGCAGTGGTGCAACCTCTGCTCACTGCAACCTCCACCTCCCAAGTTCAAGGTCCCTGCCTCAGCCTTCCGAATAGCTGGAATTACAGGCGCCTGCCACTATACCTGGCTAATTTTTGTATTTTTAGTAGAGACGGGGTTTCACCATGTTGGCCACACTGGTCTTGAACTCCTGACCTTGTGATCTGCCCGCTTTGGCCTCCCAAAGTGCTGGGATTACAGGCGTGAGCCATTGCGCCTAGGCCTTCATTCTTAACAAAATTCCAGATCAGCAAAACTGTACAGTGAAGCTGGAAAACTTCCAGGTAGCATTAAGACTACTCAGCTGCTTGCTTTTTCTGCTGAACAGGTGTGCTTCCTCCTGGGATGGACTTGACTCATTTACAGGGAATATCTGGCCCTATCCTGGGTCAGCCCTTTTACCCTTTACCTGCTGCTAGTCACCCTCTCTTAAACCCTCGTCCTGGAACACCTCTGCATCTGGCAATGGTGCAACAGCAGCTACAGCGCTCAGGTAGGTTCAGGAATTTGACAGGTGAGTTTGGGACAGACTTACAGAGTCTTAAAGCTTTTAGGACTAGTTTTCAGTGGACATGAATTAACATTCATTCTTTAACTTGTTCTAAGTTTGGGACAAGAGTGTAACCAGAGAATAAGATGGAGTAAATTGACCTCTATGCAATTTGGGATTACTGTTCCTGCAGTCAGTGGGAAAAGTCAAGTGTGCTCTGGCTTTGTCCTTTGCCTGTTAGGAGAGGGCTGATAATCCAACAGAGGTTCAGCATCCGGCCTGCCCAGGGTATATGCCCCCTCACCAGTTAATGTTGCTGCTTCTGTGATGTGGTTACTTGCCATGAGAAGTAGCAGTCATGTCATCCAGGGTAGGTTTTCAATACTGGTAGCTTCTGAATAGCTCCGCTTTCCATGGTACTGTTTCTGGCATTGTTGGTATTTTGCAAAGGAGTTTCTATCTAAAGAAGCCCTAGAAAAAATTCTCTAGTAAAGATTCTTCTTTGGATAGGGTTTAATGAAGCAGGGTCTAACAAACTTCTTTCCTTCTCATGCTGTGAATGATAACCCTTCTTATCTCCACAGTTCTGCATCCTCCAGGCTCTGGTTCCCAGGCAGCAGCTGTCAGCGTTCAGACAACTCCTCAGAACATGCCCAGCCGGTCGGGCCTGCCCCACATGCACTCCCAGCTGGAGCATCGCCCCAGCCAGAGGAGCAGCTCCCCTGTGGGCCTTGCCAAATGGTTTGGCTCAGATGTGCTACAGCAACCCCTGCCTTCGATGCCTGCCAAAGTTATCAGTGTAGATGAATTGGAATACCGACAGTGAGCAGGGCAGGCAGACTCAACTAAGCCCGGACCTGTGGTGGCACCCTGGGCAGGACCCTACTTCCTCATCTCGGGTTGGTTTATGGGCTTTTACTTTGGAGCACTCTGTGTGAAGCTATTTGGTGGAACCCATGCACCTGGTGTGGTCCGCATTATGATGGAAGGATCTTAACCAGTCGAGTGGAGTGTACATTGAATACAGGATGCACAATGTTGTCAATCCTGGAAATGGTCTTTCTTTTTTGTAAGATATGTGAATGAAGTGTTGGTGTCCTCACCAAGAGGTGGCACCTAAGGGTTCTGAGGAAATAAATGTATAGACCCTTATGTACAGACCTGTGTATAAACAACTTTTGTATATACATATAGGATAGCTTTTTTGAACTTATACAGCTGTACATAAAAGTAGCTGATATTAGTTAGGCCTGTGTCAACAGTTTGGATTTTTTTCACTTGTACATTTGGGATTTTCTTTTGGTTGATTAAAATTGCATATGCTAAGTGTGTGAATGAAGTAACTGGCATTGTTGTGTTTATTTCCTCTCTGAAACCCTTCCTAATTTTGTTTGTTTGGAGACAGGGTCTCACTGTGTGTCGCTCAGGCTGGAGTACAGTGGTGCAATAGTGGCTCACTGCAGCTTCAACCTCCTGGGCTCAAGCGATTCTCTCACCTCAGCCTCCCAAGTAGATGAAACTACAGGCACACACCACTATAACTTTTTTCTTATTTTTTGTAGAGGCAGGGTCTTACCATGTAGCCCAGGCTAGCCTTCCTAATTTCTAACCAGCCAAGCTATGCTCAGTATGTTCCTTTAGGGAAGTGATCTGAAAAAGTTTAAATTTTTCTTTAAAACCCATAGAAATTGGCCACTGTGGCTCACACCTGTAATCCCAGCACTTTGGGAGGCAGAGGTGGGCGGATCATGAGGTCAAGAGATCGAGACCATCCTGGCCAACATGGTGAAACCCCGTCTCTACTGAAAATGCAAAATTAGCTGGACATGGTGGTGCGCACCTGTAGTCCCAGCTACCCAGAAGCCTGAGACAGAAGAATTGCCTGAACCTGGGAGGCAGAGGTTGCAGTGAGCTGAGATCACGCCACTGCAACCCAGCTTGGTGACACAGTGAGACTCCATCTAAAAAAAAAAAAAAGTTAATTGGACTCTCTTGATTTAGGAGAAATCAGCTATGGCCTTTTTCCTTGAGCTTTAAAGACCCCAACGGGTCAGTTTACACTGGACTGACCCTATAGATAGCGTAGCCTTGTGGCTAATACCAGGATATCTATAGTGTAATTTCCAAGATTAAACTGACCTAGTGAAAACAATTTGTTTATTAAGGAATCATCTATTACATATGGTAGTTTCTCAAACTAAATCATGTTTACTGGGGCATCCTGTTTCTCTAAGCTCAGAGTTCTGATTCAACCCACTGAAGTCTAAGAATTTCCCTTAAGACTCATGCATTAATTGACTCCTTGTGTTCTGTATCACGTTCCTCACAATTGTTTTATTATTCACCTTAACTATTAGTACATACACAGCACTGACGGATAAAGATTCTACAGAATACAGTACGGTTGTGAGTCCCCTTTCCTAACTGGAAGTTTTTCAGTCCTGCTATGTGGTTATACTTATTTCCCATGCTACTCAAGTTAATTTACCAGAGTTGTAGGTATTTGTCCATTTAGGACCATTTTAGGACTCCATGCTAAAGGGTCAGATAATGAGGTGAAGGTCAAGGTGGTTGGATTTTTGACTACAAGGGTAGTACAGTCTTGAGCAGCCTGAGTCTTGAGTGTTAGGGAATAATGACTATAAGCCTGGAACTGCCCACCCTGCCCTGTACTTGCAGGAATACAAGAATGCAGGTCACCTTTCAACAAAACCTGGCTTTGTGGATTATGCATGAAGTCAGTCTCTTCCTAGTACTTTCCTTTCAACCTCATTAGTAATCCCCTTCCCCCATGCTATTCACTCCATGTAATTCCTCAGCTTCAGAAATAGACCCTATGTTTAGAATTTTTGGCAAATGCTTTCTGGTTTCCACAGGTGGAAGCTGGAAAGCAGTCCCAAGTGTCAATGGCAGAACACCGATGCCTCAATCCAGTTCCACCTTTCCTGTGTATCCTCTTCCACTTATCTTACTTCCCCTTCATGTTGAACCAACGTTAATAGGTGCAAGGTAAGGAGGACTGGTTTGAAGCTGCTAGTAAAGGCTTCCTTTTCAGGCTAGAAGCTAGTAGGACAGAAATGGGTACCATGCAAAGAGCAAAGCCATTAGCTGGTGATTGGCAAAATGGAGGCAGAAGGAAATAAGGGAGTGTTGCTAAGAGTATCAGCAGAAACTAGACATACAGGTTTTAGCAAAAGTATTTTGGCAAACGGACTAGAGGAAGCAGGGGTGAGGGATGAAGGCAAAAGACACATGAATGCAGTCTTCAAGGAGCTAAGACCTTGATGTAGGATGAGGGCAGAGAGAAAGGGATGTCTTTGGAGAAACTTTTGATGTCTTGCAGGCATGAGATGAGTTCAGAAGCAAGCAGTGCTGGAAGGATATGCAAAATAAAAGTTAAGAGAAGCTAAGGATATAGAAGGCATCCTGAAAGTAAAACAGCTGAGGGCCACAAAGCATATAATGGAAAATCTGTTAAGCTGGGGAGGTCAGGTAGGAGAGGAAAGAACAGTCCCTCCCAAGGGAGGTCAGTGGTAAAAGGAAGTGTGAATGAAGTGAACAGAGAATGCAGCTAGGCCTTCCCCTAGGAGATAGCTACTGAGTGTCTTATAAGCCAGACTATTAAGAGGAAAGGGAAGTGTGAGGTCCATTGGCCTTTTGTTGTGAACTATGAGCATAAACACAAATCAAGAATGACAATAACTTTCAGGGCTAAATTCTGGTTCTTCAATAATTCTATTCCCTTTACCAACAATTGATTCAAAAATAGACATGTGGCTGGGCGCAGTGGCTCACACCTGTAATCCCAGCACTTTGGGAGGCCGAGGTGGGCGGATCATGAGGTCAGGAGATCGAGACCCTCCTGGCTAACACGGTGAAACCCCATCTCTACTAAAAATATTAAAAAATTACCCAGGCGTGGTGGTGGGTGCCTATACTCCTGGCTACCTGGGAGGCTGAGGCAGGAGAATGGTGTGGACCTGGGAGGCAGAGCTAGCAGTGAGCTCATGCTACTGCACTCTGGCCTGGGTGACACAGTGAGACTCCATCTCAAAAAAAAAAAGAAAAATCCAGGTGAGAGACCATGGTGGACTGGACATAAAGACCAATGGTCACCCAGGCTGGAGTACAGTGGCCCATCTTAGCTCACTGCAGCCTGGACCCTCCAGGTTCAAGCAATCCTCCCACCTCAGCCTCCCAAACAGCTGGGACTACAGGCACGCACCACCATGCCCAGCTAATTTTCTAAATTTTTAGTAGAGATTGGGCCTCGCTATGTTGTCCAGGCTGGTCTCGAACTCCTGAGCTCAGGTGATCTTCCTGCCTTGGCCTCCCAAGGTGTGAGCTACTGGGCCCAGTCCCCTCTGCCCATATTGTTACCCACCACACAAAGATTTTTATCAATCAATTTCACATAATCAGAGCAATCCCCTTAAATTCCTATATTCCTAGCTCCCCAAACATCTGATTATGTCCTTAGTATCCTCTCAAGTAGTCCTGACACCAACCCTCCTCCTAAACCTCCCACCTCCATACATACACATATGTGAACACACAAACCTGCTTTGATCACACCAGTTGCCTCGCTTGCAACGTTCTGCCTTTACACCTTTGCCCAAGTTATTGGCTGAGGCCAGGACTTCCATGGGGATTCAAGCAGAAAGGCTGGGTTATGGAAAAGAAGGCATTTAGTTGGCCAGGCGCGATGGCTCATGCCTGTAATCCCAGCACTCTGGGAGGCCGAGGCGGGCAGATCACGTGAGGTCAGGAATTCAAGACCAGCCTCACCAACATGGAGAAACCCCATCTCTACTAAAAAATACAAAATTAGCAGGGCATGGTGGTACATGCCTGTAATCCCAGCTACTCAGGAGGCTGACACAGGAGAATCGCTTGAGCCCGGGAGGCGGAGGTTGCGGTGAGCGGAGATCACGCCATTGCACTCCAGCCTGGGGGACCAAGAGCGAAACTATCTCAAAAAAAAAAAAAAAGAAGAAAGCATTTAGTGGCCCAGCTGGCAGCATTTCAGCTCAACATTCAGCCCAACACTGATGATGTACAGCTGTGCTCTGCATAGGGCAGACAGCCCAGTAAAAGGCTGGATGCAACAAAAGCCAAGAGTCATTGAGTACTTATACGTCAAATACTGTGCTAAGCAATTTTTAAGTACCTATCCCTACATTACTGACAATCACGACGGCAGAAAGTAACTACTACTATCCCCATGTTACATGAGGAAACTGAGGCTCATAAAGGTTGGGTAATTTGTTCAGGGCTCCACAGCTAACTAGAGGTGGACCTGCAATTTCAAACCCTGATCTGCCTGGTCTAAGTACTTAAATTACATGATCTCCCAAAACAGGTTGGCCTTGCAGGGAGTGATCAGTTAACTTTACATAAAGTCCTTCCTCTCTCCAGTATCATGTGGGAAAAGACCACTTGAAAGGATTGAAAGCCACATCTAGTTTGGAAGGGGTTCCCATAAGTAAACATCAAAGAAGATGCTGCATGTCATATTTTTATCCATTTCACACTCAAGATCAAGTTTCCAAGGATCCCTTCTGTAGCTACTTCACCGTATATACCCTTCCTTATTCAGCCCATCCCAAAACAAATTCTGACAATGACACATGAGCTGTATGTAGCTGACCAGCCTACCAGGTCTTTTATGCAGTTCGACATACAAGGTGACACCAAGGTAAGACAAATGAAGTTCCAGTTTGGGTGCCTCCATCTCCCTCCCCTGGATCCTGATCCAGTGACTGCCAAAACCAGAAAGAACTGGGGTAGGGTGCTTGATCATGGGGAAGGCTGTTGTGGTTCGCCCGGCAGATGGGAAAGGGGAAAAGTTTCACTTCTTCACAATTTGAATGACATCCTCGTCCTCCAACGTATGGTCTTTACCCACTTTCTGAGGATTGTGTTTCACAGACAGACCCCAGACCAGAGCACTGTATGGAAGGGAAAAAGAACAGTCAGTGTAAATAATAACCTAGCTTCTGCCCTATTTGCCTGGATGCCACCCTTCTGCTCAGATTTAGAATCACACACTTAAAAACTACAGACGCACAAAAGTTTTATCTTCCTGAATAGCATGAGACACTGAAGTCTTAACATACAAGGCAACAAAGACTTCTGGAAGTTGTGTGGTTCCTCTTATTGCAGAAAGTCAAAGACAAAAAACATGATTAGTATAAAGAGCCTCGTTTAAAATTAAAAGAAAGCATGAATTTGTTACAGAGAAATACCCTGGGCCGGGCGCAGCAGCTCATGCCTGTAATCCCAGCATTTTGGGAGGCCGAGGCGGCAGATCACCTGAGGTCAGGTGTCTGAGACCAGCCTG